GGTGTGTGTGTGTGTGTGTGTGTGTGTGTGTGTGTGTGTGTGTGTGTGTGTGTGTGTGTGTGTGTGTGTGTGTGTGTGTGTGTGTGTGTGTGTGTGTGTGTGTGTGTGGTCTACACCACACACCACACAGTGCGGTCAATTCTTCAGCCTTGCAAGCTGTTGAATGGTGCAATCCCAGCACAAGCTGCTATGGCTTCTGCTGTAGCATCGCTATCATCGCCTCCGGCGATGGGCGTCCAATGGTCCAATGGTCCAATGGTGTGTGTGTGTGTGTGTGTGTGTGTGTGTACATAGGCAATATGCTTTGGTTCTGCAAGACTGCTCAATGCCTGATTCAGGCAGAGCGGCGTACACAAAGGCACACAATGAAAACCTTGGCAAATTAATTCCGTTGTGACTCAGAGTTTCATGGCTGAACCAATCATCAGACAACGTGTATGTATGTATGTATGTATGTATGTGTGTGTGTGTGTGTGTGTGTGTGTGTGTGTGTGTATGTATGTATGTATGTGCATGATTGTGAGTCTCACGGGTCACGGGTGATAATTGCATCCATTCGATGCAATGGTCTGTCCACAGTACCCATGGTGAGGCGTTCTATCGAAACAAGAATGACATACTTGAAGTAGACGAATGCCAAGGGGACCAACAGCAACAAAAAGAAAGAACAATAGGAGTTATTGGACACACTTGCTGGAAGAAAATCGTTGGTTACCGATTCACAGCACATGGCATGCATACATACAGTATGTGCGTTCGATTACCCGGCGAGGTCTTACTCTATCGAATATAAGAGGCTTTTGAAATTTTCCAACCTCGTATCACCACCATGCATGCGTTAGTAACTGACAAGTTAGGGTGCCAGTTTTCAATGAATGGAGTGTTGTAGAGGCTAATAACTTTGTAACAGGCTTTATCGATTTTAGGGGGCAACCACATGACTGACCTCGGGGAAGTCAACAGTATCCGATAATTTACTGATAAAATTTCACCCAATTCCTACGAATTGAACTCGCTTCAGCAGGCCCTGCCGACCTTCCATGACACCAATATTTTGTCAGCTGATGCCTTGGTAGGATACTACAGAAGTACCAGTCTAGTACTAGTTACATGTTCAACTTCAAAATCTCAGTCCGGCCTCCACACAGTAGATCTACGGACCAGGAATGCATAATTTTTACCCAATTTGTTACGCGCATACGCTAGTCTAGTAGTACGAAATGGAAATATCTCTGTCATGTGTTTAGGCTAACTTTAGCGAGCGTCATCATACTATACTGTGAGGAAATTTTGTGTGGAGATCACTGATGATGATAATAATTATTATAAATGAATTTATAACACAGTTTCGACAGCTACAGGGATATTTCCATTTTGTACGATGCTTATTGACGGTGAGATCTGACCTGTACTATAGTACTAGCCCACAACTAGGCACTTTGTTACGTCTCGTAGAGGATTCGGATTTCTGCTCGAAGAGCTGAGCAAGGAGATGGTAGCCGGGCGCGGAGCTACTGCCAACAGGCTGGTCCCGGCTGCTAAGCGCGATGAGAGTGACTACTCCAGTGCCAGTGGACGGTCGAAGTCTGAAGAGAAATCCCCTCGGACAAACGCTAATGTGTCACGGCTGCTCATAATATTTACCGCCGCCGTCTTGCCGCTAATTTCAGCCACGGTGGTGATCCTCACCGTCTGGGGTATAGAAGATGCCATTGAAACAAGCAATAACGAGAGGTGAGCAGGCATGGGGAAAGCAGTGGTGATGACTGTGTTACTTGTACAAGTAAGTTGTAGATCTACGCCACGGCACTAGCATTGCGGAGCTGGTAGGTAGACCTCCCGTCCAGGCAGCCTAGCCTGTACTAGTAGTAGTACTAGTAAAGCTGTTCAAAAAATCCGACAAAGCGAGTCACGCGAGGGGGGGGGGGGGGGGAACTAGACTACCGGTAACGCGGATCAGATTTCATTGAGCAGCATTGTATCTGAATGAGCGGAAATAATTGGTGCAGGTTTCGATTACAGCAAACAGAGCATGAATAATTCCTATGCACTTCAAAGCCAGTAAAAGGCACGGAGCTTGCTATACATTGAATAGAAAACATTCACACGCCCATTCCAGCCGGGCGCGCGCACACACACACACACACACACACACGCACACACACACCACACACACACACACACACACCAGGGGGCGTGCTCGGCCCCCCAACTAGGGGGGGGGGGGGGGTGCACGGGAGCCGAGGGGAGCCCCCCGGCAATTTTCTGCAATTTGTTTGCAACCTTTCTTGAATTTTAGAGCATATTTGCATACATTACAATTGCAATTACCCAGATTGAAAATTTTTGGGGGGTGCACGTGCCCCCCCCCCCCCCCCCCCCCGTGCCCATCGCCGAGCACGCGCCTGCACACACACACACACACACACACACACACACACACACACACACACACACACACACACACACCACACACACACACCACACACACACACACACACACATGCACACACACATGCACACACACACAGACACACTCTCACTCTCTCTCTCTCTCACACACACACACACACACACATACACGCACACATACACACATACTTTACACATACCCACACTCTCTCTCACACACACCACACACACACATACACACACCATACACACGCGCACGCGTATCTAGGATAGCTGGACAGAAAGATTACTATCGCCACCGTCACTACATACGTATGAATACTGCACATGGAGCTGATTTACCACAGTTCACTCTTCCTTTATCACAAGAGACAGGACGACCTTAGTTTTGATTTTTTTCCTTCAAAGTGCCAGTTGTACGACTGAAGTACAGTCAGACCTTTAACCGCACACATCTGTTTTCCAAAAAAATATCCGGATAGGCGAGGGAACCGGATAACTGAAATCACATACTGGATAGGCATGTGACATGTCAAAAGCAGTGGCATCATATATAGTGAGTATACGGGTCCTTTGCAGTACAACTAGCGTGCACAGTATGTAAAACAAAGGAGAAAAATGACAAGTGCATGCAACTGAGTGCTATCTGCATGCATCCAGCAGGTCAAGGACCTCACTTGCTTGTACAACTCCCTGATTCTTGCTTCTGCAAGCCACGTGCAACCGGATACGACGAAGCTTTTTGTACGCAAAATTATGCACCGGTATGCGGATCGGTAGGTCCGGTTATGTTGTATGCAAACATATGCTGCACATCGGTAACCAGCGATTTTCTTCCGGATGGCGAGGGATCCAGATAAACGAGGATCCGGATAAGCGAGGATCCGGATAAACGAGGATCGGATAAGCGAGGTCTGACTGTATATCCATGAGTGTACATCATTACATACACTTCAGTCCCCGCCGTCAAACTGTCTCATCGTGTGCTATCGTTTTTCACCAACTGCGCCTCTTTACAGTTGATTGTCGCTTATCCATCAGTGCACTGACAATGCAAAGAGCGTGGGATCGTCGCGAAAATAGCAAAATTTAATCTATAGCGAAAGTAACTCACAATGTTGCATACTTGTTCGCAAATGTAAACATTGTCGAATCTTTTTTTTGAATATTGTGACTACGTTGCAGATGCGTATCAGTAGAGTCAGTTGCTTGGTCCTCATCCACCCTGGTCGATGTGAGTATAGACACCTTTCAAACATCTAACACGCACGCGCGCGCGCACACATACACACACAAACATACATGTGTAACATACACACATGTACACACACACACACACACACACACACACGAGCGCACACCTCACCTACACACACGCACACAATAGCACACACACATACAGACTCACACACACACACATACACACACGCATAATTATTGTTAGTGCTTTAGAATTATACTTGTCTAGCTGTTGAATGGTTGAATGGTTGCGGGACTCGGATCTGTACTATGTTTGTGACAATCAATTCTAAACAAAGGAGTGAGGAGCAAAATACATCTTCTGGAGTTGATGACATTGGAATGTATATTTGAATGTTAATCTCCAAACGAGGTAACTCCTTCCTTGCATTATTGGCATGTATTTTTTGAAAGTTCCCTGTTTGTTTTTTGCCAGGGCTCCGAAGTACATGAGTCTGAATCGGTTAACTTAACATTGCCCCGTAGTCTTGCTTGCACATCCCCAGTGCCTGCTGGGTAGGGAGCGGCTACTCTTCGGCGTACACTGGCGGAAGATGACAGTAGTCTATAATGATGACTGATGTAGTGCAGTCAGACCTCGCTTGTCCGGATCCCTCGTCATCCGGAAGAAAATCGCTGGTTACCGGTTTGCAGCATATGTCATGCATACACACAGTATGTGTGTTCGAGTATCCGGTTCCCTCGCCAATCCGGATATTTTGTGGAAAACGGATGTGTGCGGTTAGGCGAGGTCTGACTGTACAGTGACTCATATTTCCCTTGTCCGGGCTGTCCAGGACTGGGCACTGCCTGTAACTTGGAAATGCCCGTAACTCTGAATCATGCACTGTTTGAAGGGGAAGGGTCAGAGATCTGGAATACTACGTCACTATTTCCACCAAGAACTTGATCGGGCAAAACAAATTGTAATATTTCCATTAAACTCAACCACAGCGTGTCTGTTAGCCCGTGGCGCCCGTAGCTAAGTGGAGGTCCGGATAAGAGAGCTATGAGTGTACTGTACACTGCACACGTTGATGGCTTCCAGACTGTAGGCAGGAGGCTTATCCCGCAGCTGACTTTCTAGGCTCTAGGTATCACTACCAGCCAGCAGCAGCACATTCGTAGCCGTTCATTTCTCTTTAAATTTCATCCAATGTCATAGACCATCCAGGGTCATTTAGGGCACGGCAGAGACTCCGCTTTCCTGCACGGTGTGCAGTGCATGTACAGTGCCACTCAATGAAATGCGATCGCGTGCAAGTTTGCACCCTGCACTAGTTCATATGCCGGTGTTCGCAGGTCTAGGGCTGCACAGAGCCGACGTGGCATTCACTGACTTGATCGACTTTGAGCAGTACCGTGTGCTGTGCATGCCCATGTCCAAACCTATTGAGAACGTTGCCCATTGGTGGCACATTCCTTGATGCGCTGTGATCATAATACGAGCGCCAATTTCTTTATAAATCACAAAACTGAACCCAAGTCGAAGCAGATTGTGCGAAAACATTTCCGGATTTGCCAGTGGAAATAGTAAAATTCTTTGATATGGCATATTACAGAACACATGTGTGTGGTTAACATTCAAAGCTCACCACTTTGTATTGGATGGTTGTTTATTTATTACCGGTATTAGACTTATTGAACATGTGCTGAGCAACAGTTACAACACATTCTCATGGCCAAAGCCAATACAAAGATGACGCACAGACTCGCTGTAACACCCCATTTATCCACAATCAGCTCCCTCCCCCTCACTTATCTATTTACACGTGTTTCGTAATCCCGTCCACGGTGCGCTGGATAGCGCTAACGCCGAGACCCTAGGTCGGCGTTGCTAGTCCCGCCTCACCGGCACAGGCTCCCTGAGAGCCCCTACTAGTACATTGTCTGTCTTTCTCCTGTGTTGTCTCGATCATTATTTTCTTTTGTCTTCTTCTTCTCCTCTCTTTGTTATGGTCTATCAGTAGGAGGTGCATTCTGTAAAAAATAAATAAAATAACGTGGTCGAATATAACCAGCCATTGTTTGGAAGCTAATACTACTTCGAAGTAGACCCTCTAGCTCAAGTTACTGCCTAGGATACCATAATTATGGTTCAAGTCCCTGCTTGTCTCTTGTTATAGTTGTACTCTGACTAGCTCCCTTTATCGCTTCTCTTGTTTCATTCTGTGGCCATGGTTCAAGTCACGGGCAATCACCCATATCTCTACATTATTGGTAGTCTCAATGGCATGCTATGAGATTTTGATTAAAAAAATAAAAAGACTGGTGGCGACTGGAGCCGTTTGATCGGTGCCGGACTCGCAGCATGTAGGATCCCACCGCCACTGCAAGGGATTGCAGTGTAAGGCCACCCTTTGTTAATTCATTGTTTAACGTCCTTTTTTTCGCGAAAAGGTACGCGGGAGGGCGAAAAAAACAAAAGCCCATTCCAAAGACTGGAAACCCCAATCAAACATTTTGACCAGTAAAGCATGTGATATATACAATATTTCTGGGTCTAACGGCACTTGCAGGCATAGAACAACACTCTTTGATGGTACATTGGAGCACATGCCTGATGAAGCCAACAAAACAGGTACATAACATGGAGTTAGCATGTCATGAATTCATTACATCTGGATTTTTACTAGGACACACACCGTACGATATTTAAAGGCCAACAAAAAAAGAAAAAGAACACAAGACAAAGGCATGACCGGGAGGCAAGATTATAAGTTTAAGGTCATGATCGGCACACTATGAAACTACACAATCATGTATTTACAACTTCGCATATTATTGGTACTACTACTTTCTTGGGTTTTTTTCCGGTCGGAGGCAAAAAGGTACGCGGGTGCGGACGTTAAACAACGAAAAAAGAAAGGGTGGCCTAATCTCAGTGTACACATCCATCACTGATTGCATTCGGGGATGTTGCCGAGAGATCATATCACCGCTCTCTTCTACCTTTGCTTGCTGTGCAGCTGGTGTTGCAAGGCAAACCTATTGTCGTGGAGAATACGCCTTTCACCACCTGGCCATGCATGGACTGGACGTGGCCATATCTGCAGAACTCTGTGCACGCTGATCTACCTGTCAAGCTGTCTCGGTTAGTCTCTGTACTGACAACCACCGTGGGTAGTTTGCACTTCGTGTTGATAATTTTAGGCGCACAGAACCTATCAGTATCAGGATTGACTAGGACATGCGTGTGACGAGGTTCACGTTGCTTGTTGGGCAACCATACCAATGCAGCAGCAATCCATAGTCTAGTCATCAGGGGTATAACACACGGCATGACCATGGTCGTACCACTTTTCGTCCAGGATGGTCCACCCAGAGCGCCTGTAGAGCGCTATACCGTGTCCTGTTTGCCTAAAATCCGATCCCCCCCCCCCCCCCCCTCATACCACTCCCCATAACCCTGTGACACCCCTGGTGATGCATTACATTGACTCGCGAATAGGCTTCTCTTGCATCTATGCGAGATCGGGGCACAGGACACTCAGTGTAAAATGTTCTCTATTCGCCGCATCTTCTGAAAGGCTACTGCCGTACTGGTGTATTGCCGATCTACTGCATACATTTGTTCATGCTCACGAGACTGGATGCGTTTTATCCTTCACTGCTTTGCAGCACTGCCGAGTTCAAGTACTCAACTTCAAGTAAGGTGAGGAAAATCTGCATGGAAACCATCTGCAGCAGGTCACTGGGTGATTTTATTGCATCCCAGACTTTCAGTTCTGGGATCGTGCAGCGGAACTTGTATCACTCACTTTTACAAAGCACACGGTACCAGGACTTGTATCATTCACTTTTTAAAATTGCATGGTACCATTATGTGCTGCTAATGCATGATGTTGCACTGCCGGCCTCACTCAGGTTCGCGCTGTGCACTTGTACCATATCACGTAGAACATGTTATTAGGTATTCCGCGCATTTTGTAGCGGCTGCCACAGACTAATTTGATCCTACATGTACCGTTTCGGCTGATACTGAGCGAAAAAAGGTGCATGGCTGGTGGGAACTATTTTGATTGCACAATGCACATGCCTTCGAGTTACATACGTATCCCTGTGCCGAGAGTTACCAGATGATTCCTCCACAAGCATTGTTGCGACTGTTGTCCTGGCGAGAGAAATTATACCTCATGCTTATATTAGCGTCGGGAGGTGGGGTTGGGGGGGGGGGGGGGGGACTATGTGGCCCTGACACCACAGACACCACTCTGCGCATTTGAGCACGGCGCTACTTTTTCAAGAGGTAAAATTTCGCTGGCCAGAACAATTTCCGAATGGTATCCCCTGTGCCTATGGTGATGTACTACCTGCAATTTGTCATGTCACGTGTAACAGTTAATCAATACTGGGGAGTTGTGCATAGACTACGTAGTGTATGGATATTTTGCAGTTACCAAGCCGGTTTGTATCACTCATTGTTTCCTCTCATGCAGCCCTACTCAGGCTCAGCGGCGGCAACAAACCGTGTGAACTACTCCAATATCGTCATGAACGCCAAGAAGCTCTTCCATCGGTGCGTGATTAAATGCATCAGTCTCATTTTCTCCAGAATTCAGCATTACGTTTCAAGGTGCTATTTACACCACCCTAGGCTGTGGGACAATGATCGATTCAGGCAGTAAAACCGGCTATTACAGGGCTGTGATAATCTGTTGTAACGTGACCAGGTGCCGGGCAAGAGCTGGGAGTGGGTTTTTTAATTAATTAATTTATTTATTCAACATTTCCTGGCTCGTCAAACAACTGCCAATGACAAATGAATGTGAAATGAAGGGTGATAGCCAACCACGGCAAATGTCCGAAACAGTAAAAAAAGGTAAAAAGGCATGAAGGAATCAAGTTTTCTGTCCAGCCGCTGACGCCTGGCTTGAGATTGGGCACAATGCATTGTTGACATCATCACTGACCAGCAGTATACGAACAGGATACATGTACTGATACATGTACTCTTCGCAGTCTATGGGCATTACTTGCAACTTGAAAATTATCTATTCTGTGCATTTTGGACCACCATCTTCACACAGCCTCAACGGTATGCCCACCGATCAGCTGCAAAATGCTGTGATGCAGATGTATGTATAGGCAGCTAGAACCCTGCGGCATGCGGCCGGTTGGTCTACAGCTTGCCGTTGATCTTGCCGGTGCTGCCGAGTTGGTGTGGGCTCAGCAGACCGTGTGTGTGTGTGTGTGTGTGTGTGTGCCGATTTCGCTTACCGCATCACCTGGATCGTCACAGGGCTGTGTGCTCCTCCTCTCTCTCAGCTGCCCCTCCGGGGCCCACGTAACCTTCATGGCAGTGGCTCAACAGGACAGGTGTGTGTGTGTGTGTGTGTGTGTGTGTGTGTGTGTGTGCATGTGTGTGTATGTGCGAGCGCACGCGCGTGTGTATGTGTGTGTGTGTGTGTGTGTGTGTGTGCAACTTTGCATGTGTGTGTCCACAGTTTACAAAATGGAGATTCAAGCAGTTACGTATATGCAAGTGGTGAAGCAGAGCTATTAGGTACGTTTGTGGCTTTACACATACCCTACTCTCTGCCTAGACGACGAAGAACCATTAGTATTAGACCTAGTATGTTAAGGCTGTGTTTGTGTTTAGCTACCTGGTAGAGCATAGTACATGTAGATCCATTCTGCCGATAGATGTAGAAGGCAGAGGTAAGTGCACGAACGCTACCCTACTGGATTTGGTAGTTTTCACGAAATAGTACTGTGACGTGAAGTGTTTTTTCTTCTCTACGGAGTTGTATTCAACTCCCTGATCCTGCTGGAAATCCCAGCGTATCTCTACCAACTTCTACCGACCTCTACCAGCTTCAAACCTAGTAGAGCCGGGAGAGAAAGGTAGAATCTTCTCTTTTGAGTAGAACAAGGAGCGCATCTACCGGAAGAAGTACTAGTTTCTACCCAAACCTGTAGATTCAAAACGAACTAGCCCCCTTAGTCTTAGTATCATGCAGCAATGCCGGCTTAGCATGCAGCTGCACGTGTGGATACGGTAGAATCTCTGTCAAACAGTGCAGTTATGGTGTTTGTCAGCTGCGGCATGCTGTTGAATATTGCCGTCCCTTTGCTTTGCGTTACATGTGTTATGTCCTTCACCGTGCACCAATAGGCATTCCAGAGGATTTCGGTGACCCGCGTGATGTATCGTTCCCAGCTGATATGCACAGCGATGCTCAGGTTGGTGGTTGAGGCATGGTTGAGTATTTGTACATGTAGATTCGCACATACTGAGTATATAATGGGTGTGTGTGTGTATGTGTGTGCGTGTGTGTGTGTGTGTGTGTGTGTGTGTGTATGTGTGTGTGTGTGGGGGGGGGGGCGTGTGTGTTGCTAGTAACTTCCTAACATTGGTTTGGCAATGGCAATGTCCGTTTTGTCTATGTTGCTGTCCGTATCCACAGATCAACTTCTGGTTTGGCAGTATGGGTGTAACGGCTGACTGGCACTACGATACTTCAGACAACCTACATGCTATGATTCACGGCAAGTAAGGTGTGCTATGGCTGGGTAATTCCTATATGTATGGGTGGCTTGAGTACGGGAACACTTCCCATACCAAACCCTTTCATAGTACATCCCTTCTCGGTTACTAGTATTTCATCTCCTTGGCACGATGACTAGACGAATATGTAACATTCTGGAGTTTGAAGGTCCACACCTGCATGTCCCAGTGTTCACACTTGAAGGTGACGGTGTTCCTACAGATGCGGGAAGGTCCGACGTCTGTCTCACCAAACCAAATCATGCCGATTCTATTAAAAAAGCCCCTCAATGTGTATCCTTACACATGATGAAATGACATTCATGTCAGACTAACCTGAAGTTCTAATTGCAAGCCATGCATGTGTTGTTCCACCACTGCACACTTGCATGTAATTTACCTTGTCGGATTTGTACGCACATGCACACATGTACCAGTGGTCATCTGGTGATCATTAAAGGTATTTCATGTCATGCTCTCTTTCTGATTTGTGTTGTTGTTGTTGTTGTTCGCTGTTCCAGCAAAACATTTCACCTGTACCCACCATCAGCATTCAGACAGCTTGGCCTGTACCCATCCATACACCACTTCTATCGCCAGGCGCAGGTGAGGCCAGTGGATTGATCCCGTTGTATTGTTAAAAGCCCCTATGTCTTGAATCCTGGTGAGCCATACTCGAAATTTTGATTGGACTCTGTGTAGGCTTCACGTAACTGCTTGTAGGTTGATCAGGCAATTTTTCTGGACACAGTCGGAAGTAGACAACTGCTTTGTAATGTGAGCATCATTATTCCTTCCGCTCAATGCACTACCTATCTCGAGGGAAAGACGGTTGAATGCATGCACTTGTTTCACTTGTCCCTAGTTCTGGGTAGTTGCACTCAGCTGTACAAGTGTATAGTTGGGTATGCCAGTATAGCTGTGTGTCTTGTCCAGCAGTAGCCATGATTATCAATACCTATTTTTTCTCACTCCTTTTCTTCATCCATGTGTTGTTCAGGTACCATTCAACATCAGTTCGAGAGGCAAACTTGTGAATGGTGACAAATACTCGGTAAACACATGGTGTGTTGGTTGAACTACACAGTTTTGGAAAGAGGACAGGAAACAGTCAGTGATCAGAGATCCCTTCAGTCTCAGTTCCATGTGCGTGCAAGCCATCCACCTGTAGGTTTTGAGCACGTTCTGAGCAAGCTCCATCTGTAGGTTGTGAGTGCTTCATGAGCAAGCTCTGCCGGCCTGTAGATTTTGAGCACTTTTTGAGCAAGCTCTATCTCAGTGTAGGTTTTGAGAACTCTTCAGACAGTGGGGATGGGAAACCTGCAAGTTTATGTGTTAGTGGGAGTCTACAAGTACAGTGAGCAGCTGTGCCGCAATCTAGTTTGACTTCAGGGTCTGCTGAAATTGCATTGCTTTTGCAACTTCAATATTATGACCTTTAGAATCAGCAGCAGTAGTTAGGCTCATCAATAGAGAGGCATAGATGGTCTAAAGCCTTTGCCCTAGCGCAGCCTTATTAGCTTGATGTGATGTGCACAAATTTGTAGTAGCTCTCATCCCACCATATGCTCCCCTGCTATTACTATTTTACGTACCGATTTGCACTGAGTATATTTATGAACTTGGTTTCTGTGACACTGCAGGTGACACTACAAGCTGACCAGGCTCTGTACATACCACCATACTGGTTCCACAGTGTTCAAACACACGTGGCATCTATGTCGGTCAATGCATGGAGGTACTGAACTATTGAGGTTGATTTGTACCGCTTCTGAAACTGTTTACTGTAATTTCACAAATTTTCGGTGCACTTTTATTTTCGGTACTTTCGGTGCATCTGTTTCATACCTAAAATTTGAATACGCCAAACTAAACACTGACACACATAATCCAATAGGGAACTGTTTCTCTGTACCTAAATTTTCTGTCCACCTTACCTGTCCTTTTGCCCTCATACCGAAAATATTGAGCACCGAAAATTTCTGAAATTAGAGTATCTCCATACAATTTTTCACCGTGTAACGTCCCTGTCCATGCTGCTGGTCTCTGACCTTGAATTGCTTCAAACTCGTCCTGTATGATACCACTGATCACAAGTTCATGTTTTGGCGATGGCTGATTGTTGTTCTGTCTCTTCTTCAGTCAATCGGAGGCGTTTCTAACAATGGAAAAGATCTATCAGCTCCCGATCGCCCTTGAGTCTGACTGGCCAAGGTACCGCACTATCTGTCTGTGTTATGATTACGCCTGTCACTGATCACACGGCCAGGTGACTGGTATCATGACACACTCATACTACATGTTCTGAAGTTCCCATGGTAGTACATATGCTTATCTTGTCTGTGCAACAGAAATGTTCCATGCTCTCCAGTAGAGTACTCGATGCCCAGGGGCAGAGCTCCTTACAACCAGAAAGAAGGCTTTTACAACCCACAAATCTTCATCCTCTTCTTCTTGTTATCTTGTGTGTGCATAGTTGTGCTGTTTTCCTGTGCTTGGCGACTTCACATGGCATTTATATTCCCTGTGTTGTTCATTGCACGTACATGTACAGGTGTAAGCTTCTCTATGGGGCCTGGCTGTTTGTCGACGAAGTCCTGCACAAGACATTGAGCGACGAGAGAGCAGTGTTTTTGGCGCACACGCTGGCTAGTCGGTAAGCAACAGGTGGCAACACGACATACTTTAGTTCAGTACCGTCGGCTGCTGAAGAACGGGGGATTGGCGTCGTAGCTTTAAAAGCGAATCTTATTTTTCATGTACTTCAGTCTAGGTATATCTGAGCACTTCTTGGGTAATTATTACACAGACAGAAGAACGAGCAGTTGAGCAGTTGAGTTGACGGTGGATGAACTTCACATGGGTAATTATTATACACGTATATCGGTAAGCTGTGCTTGGAAACTCCTAACCTGTTCATCTTCAGCCTGTCATTCTTTGGTGCCCGACAATATAATATGTACATGTACCTGTAAGGCAGGGAACTCGAAGTGCACCGCTCTCAAGCACGTACACCATTCACATTTATTGTAAACAAAAACGTTTTAGTGCAATTGTTGTACGTTTGTGCCTATAAACTTCATGGCTTACGTGGAGTTCAGTCAAGCGGATCGTCCCATATCCGTAGGTGCCCACCGCTCTCTTAGATCATGGGAGAGATACAGCTCTTATGGGAATGGAGTTGTGTAGATAGAACCCATGGAAGTACTTGTTTTACAAGGTTGAAATATTTGCCACCGAAAGAAGTCAAATAGTTCACGCGACTTCTTCATCTATTATTGAGAGTCTAGCCGTATGCTTAGACAAGAAGGAAGAAATGCATGTTTATCCGGTGAAGTGAAATACGAAGCAAACAAACTATCCTTGATACTGTAACGATGGTTTGTCACATGCAGCACATCAACAGCGCTGTCAGTCTAGTTCCCTATATGCTATGTGTGTTGCTTGCTCTCTAGCTACAAGCTTGTGAAGTATTCCAATGCGGATGAGAATGAACACTGCCTAGCCTTGAAGCAATGTGCAGCCGATGCCAGAATGAATCAACTAGTGCCTGCTGAAGAATTGGACATCTTCAAAAGGTACTTCCAGCCTTTCCTGGCTATGATTCGATGTGTTACACTTGACCTACCGCAGCAAAGGCAGGAGATTATTCAGATCAGCTCTTTAGATGACTTTTAAAATTGTACGTGTTATTGGTGCTATTGGTGCTTTATTGTTTGGATTCAAAAGTATGACACACTACCATGGATGTATGTAATCAAGCACGCTCAGGAGGTCATGATGGCTGAATCTTGCCCGAGCCTGCAGCCCAAGGGCCGTTGGCCCGAGGGCTGCAGGCAAGGGCAAGATTCAGCCATCATGACAGACAGAGCGTGCTTGATTTGATTTCTTACAGCGCGAAGCAACATAATTATTAGGGAAGGTCAAAGGTCGAAAATTATTCCTGAGATGACGTCAAACGGTCCTAACATTCCCGAAATGACGTCAAACGGTCCTGAAACTCCCGAAATGACGTCAAACGGTCCTGATGGCCTGATTATGCCCGCGGCGGGAAGATCGCCTATTGGCCATGGCCCCGGCAACGATCACGTGTAATGTAAGAAAGCTATATTTTCCTAACAGCTTGTTTGTTTTGCATGCGTGTCTGATCGATGTGCCCTGCAGCGCTGTAACAAGCCGTGTGGCCGATCATGTGATGCTGTTTCTGTCGATGGCTCGCGATGTTCGGGCCATCAATCTGGGCAACTTTGTCGAGCACCTGTATTCTATGGTGCTGGGCGTGGACCACCAGGAGTATATGCCCTGCCTGCTCGGTTTGGCCTGGCAATGAACCCAGAGTCTCTACAGACATGTTTGATCTCTACTCCCTGTGCCATTGGCCAGCAAGCCACAAGAGACTGCAGTTTACAAGTTGACGAGGCTCGTCAATCAAAGACACTTCAACTCGGTGCGCCTTGAAGCTCATGTTCTATCAAGAAAGCGATGGATCTTTCCAGCATACTGCAAAGGCATAATTATTGCAAGAATGGCACCCTTCTCACTTGCTGAGTTATTTATTTATTTTTATTTTATTTATTCACAATCACGTGGCACTAGCCAATGAAATGGTGATGTGGGCGATAGCCAGCCATGGGGGTTAGACCGCTGTGGAAACTAACATGGCACATGAGTATTCAGTAACGGTACAGTCATGATGATTCCGGCAGGGAGTTTCCCTAGCCACTTCGTCGGCTGAGCCACTTGTCCTGGCAACCAGGCAAGCACTACCTGCTTTTGAAGTGGTATGATGTTGGTGCTGCAGACCAACCGTGAGGCATACCCGTGACGCTATTGAGTGGATCCAGCCATATAGCTATGTCTCGCTATCCAAGTTGGTATGCCACGCTATAGTGGATCGAGCCATGTAGCTATGCCTCGCTATAGGGGATCCAGCCAAGTTGGTATGCCATGCTATCGTAGATCCAGCCCTATAGGCATGCCACTACAGCTTGCATACGTTTGCCCAAGTCAAACTTTGTGCGATGCATTCCCATCACACACAGCACTCTCATGGAAGGGGATGATTTGTTTGCGATGTATGCTGCTGCACTACTTGTAGCGGTTTGATTGTTTGTTGCACTGGTCTGTGTGCAAGACTGGCCATGCCATGTACGACACCATGCATGCAGCAGCACTCCATGCTGAGTGCTAGAAAATGATGGAATAAAATAATTGGCCTTCTTGGTCTTTATCATGGAAGAGTTGGTCTCTGTGGATTCCTTCATGAGCTGGTGCTGGTTACGCGGCTGACGCTGTTACTGCTGTGTGTGTGTGTGTGTGTGTGTAGGGGGGGGGGGGGGGGGGGGTGCTGTAGTGACGCTGTCGGATGGTCTTAATTTTGTGAAGTGTGGGAAATCTCTGAAAGACAAATATTAGATAGTGCATGCTCTAGTGCAGCTCGAGGAAAAATACCGACATGAAAAAGCGGCTTGTTGCTGTCTAAAGCCACGTCGCTAGTCCCCCGATACACCTAGTTTGTTACAGTTACACTAGATCTACGTGTACCTGGGTTACCTCCGGATAAGTCACTGTTCAGACACATGTCACCATGGTCACAGTTTAGCCGCAAATGCTACAGACTCGGTGACGGACTTCCTGCGGTACAGGCCCAAGCCTTGCCAAGGCAAAGGTTCTTGGCAGCGTCCTGACTCAACGTAGATCTACACAAGCACCGAAACAGACTAGCAGGCAGCAGGTGTATTCTCGGCATTCCTAGACTTTTCACTGCAGCAAGAGGATTTGGTTGTTGCTGTGTTGGTACTGGCATCATAATATTATTATGACTTATGAGTTTTCCGCTTGCTGAGGCTGGAAACACTTCCCTGCGCTTGCATGTCGACTTACTAGCATTCCATCTTCGGAGGGGCAGTTGATGAAGACTGCTTTACTGGAAGGAAGCTACCGCTCTTCTCCATTGGGAAGAGAGATCGAGAGTACATTGGCCGAAACGCAAAGACACCTTCCTTTTATTGGGATTCGCCACGTCCTCTCTTCCTGAGCCGGTGTGAGCGTTTCCGCATGCACCGGTGCTTTTACTGCAGGCCATGGCCAACTGATTCATGTCCAGGAGAGTCAGAGCATTGATTATGGTCAGTGTACGCTTGTACCCCGCACGAAGGCCAAGAACTGCCGTGAACGACCTGCTGAACAAGGACACGGTCAGCATGGCGAGTGGTGGCTGCAGTTGGACTTCACCACGGCGTGCGATGGACGAGGTGATTTTCGCAAAGCAAACAGTGCGCCCCGCAAAGCTGCACCTGTGCGGAGGACAATGCCTCAACGAATGCTGCAGACCGTTCGATTGCCGTTCGTGGTTTCGACAACGCTGACGATGGTTTCCCACGCCAGCCTCAACTGACTCGTGTATGACGACGGAAATTGTCGACGAACTGCAGAAGTAAGAAAGCGAAGGATGTCGATCAATCTACCCTGCAAAGACTACGAATGGTGCGCGCTCCGTGAGTGGCGATAGTTCTGTGGACACGCGGGGACAAGTGATCGAGCAGCAAATTCGACGACGTCGTCAGAGACCCGAGAGCTCAGATGAGAAGCAGTGTGACTGTCCTCAACACCAGCTTTCCGTCTTGTCGGGAACGTCGAAAGCATATTCTAGTGGAAGCAACGGTGCCTGAAGTTCTCTGGAAAGTTTTACAGCGCAAGCTAGTTCTGTGGTACTAGTAGGTTTGACTGGAGAAGAGTCAGTTGTATGGTGTTCCGAATCAGGACTGGGACGCGTGCAGAAAGGAAATAGAGCTTAGTCTGTCTCCAGCAGCCTTGTATTCTATCAGTCCACGCAATAAGACACACAGAAGCAGAAAGACGTTTGTTGGAGAGTTTCAGTGTTCTGCAGGAGGGCAGCGCTAGTGGCCAATGGCTGAGCTGCCATGGTGGAGGCTGGTGAGCTTCCTCAACTCAGTACTGCTATACTCCATGTGCCTGGACCAGCTTCAACAGCATTTAGCGGTGGATGCGTATCTGGCTGCTACGGATGTGCCTTACACGTGGAAGGGCGAAGACGACACCGACACGTACTTTGGTTTCAGCCTGTCTTTTCACACTTACGGCAATCAGAGCGGGTAGGTTTCTAGCTGTAGCTGCTATTATTGTGGAAGGATATCATAGTCGTTTACGTCACGGTGCATTGTGCTCACACAGTGCTGCATGCGGCATGTCCATTTCTGTGGTGGATTTGAATCCTGTGTGTGCAGGTTACTAGTCGGTGCTCCGAAGGCATCGAGCGTTTTCGCCGACCGATCTGTGACGAAATCGGGTGCGCTCTTTGAGTGTCCATTTCAAATCAAGTCAACTGAAGGGTGTCAGGAAGTCTCGGTCGACAGCTCAGGTCAGAGCACTCACCTTGAGTGGAATGGAAATGTTCTCACTACTGTTCTCACTGGCATGCAGGCCGGCTGGGACCAGAGCGGTTGGTTGGTCAGGTCATCACCAGACCAACTTGTTTGCCACCAACATTTTTTTGTTTTTTCTGTTGAGGAGGTTATGCGTACCCGCTTTATCATACACAAACTGTGTGAAAGGCTATGGTATGGTCGGACCAATCAAAAACTGCTTCCGGCAGTCCTGGCATGGATGATACAATTTGAAAGAGAGACAGAACTGGCCTCTAAACATGAGTGTGGCGACATAAAATATTGGGGTAGGGACACCGCTTGATGGACAATTCCACTGGCCCTGTGTGTAATTTCTCATCGCTGTTCACTTGGAGCCGTTGGTTATGCACGCATTGGTTAACTGCACATGCTTGTCAACCACTCATGCCCAAGCATACTGTCCAGGTCTACTTATATAATACCATGGATATGGTTGACATGATCGGCAACGGGGGCAGGGGATCTCAGGCACCAACGGAGTCCACAGCTTCTGGCAAAGTGATAATTATCAGAATTTTCCACCACAAATTCCAATTTTCTTGATGTTAGATGAATGTCAACCATTGCTGATGATTTGTTGGAGCATCTTGAATTGTTTTCCATTCGTCATATAATAATAATACATCGCGCGTAATAGGACATAACAATGAAAATTGTATGCCTGTTCCGCTTCTGTCTCACATTGAGTACCGCAGTAAATAGGGTATGTGTTTCTGAAATAGTCCTTTCCATTTGATCTTATCCATTGCGAGACATCTGGACTGACGTAGGCTATTGGCGGACTTCATCATGACGCCAGCTCGGGGCAGTGTCCTTGATGGATACTGTTCGTCATATAAGTAGTGCTAAATCAAGAAGTATTTTCAAGCTGTTTATTTTCACACACAGAAGCCTAACCTGCGCGAACAGAAGCAGGTTATATTCACCCTTAGGCTGTCAGGTAGATTGTCATACAACCTGTAAGCTGTGTTCATTTTGTCTATTGTTGTCGCACTATATTGCACACTTGTCATGGTTTCTTCACACTTACTCCCTTTTGCCATTCCTTCTGTGTGTACAAGGTCTCGCATTTTACTGCCGTTGTTTGGTGCCACTCTTCTTGGCGCTGTTGCATCACCTCTCTGCTGTACTTCATTGTCCTTGCTCCTTTTCCTTTTTGCTTGTATTACACATGGTGAGAAAGCACAAAAGTATACTTGAGGGAAGTAGAATAATCTGGCTTGTGATGAGCCTGCAGTTAGTTCTCTTCCTAAGGGTCCAGAATGTAGAATGATAATTTTGAAAATCCAACATTGGATTATTGCTTATGAATTATAGTATTCACTGACATATTGTGTTGTTTTTGTTGCATCGGCTTTGGTCTAATGCAGCAAATGATCGTCTTGCAGATGGAAGGCTAAAGGAGGAGAAGAGCAATATGTGGCTAGGCAGTGCCGTGATGAGCGCGGGTCCTGATCAACGTGTCTTGGTAAGCAGGTTATATTTTTATTTTTATTTCTTTACAAAGACCACAACATGACCACATCTGGGGAAGACGCACAGCATGAATCATGGTAGTGGTGGTATAGTATAGGGAGCTCCGCCGACTTCATAGCCACCTAGACGCACCAAGGGTGGGTAGGGAGAGAGAGCGAAAGAGAGAGAGAGAGAGAGAGAGAGAGAGAGAGAGAGAGAGAGAGAGAGAGAGAGAGAGAGAGAGAGAGAGAGAGAGAGAGGGAGAGAGGGAGAGAGGGAGAGAGGGAGAGAGGGAGAGAGGGAGAGAGAGAGAGAGAGAGAGAGAGAGAGAGAGAGAGGGAGAGGGAGAGGGAGAGGGAGAGGGAGAGGGAGAGGGAGAGGGAGAGGGAGAGGGAGAGGGAGAGGGAGAGGGAGAGGGAGAGGGAGAGGGAGAGAGAGAGGGAGAGAGAGAGAGAGAGAGAGAGAGAGAGAGAGAGAGAGAGAGAGAGAGAGAGAGAGAGAGAGAGACACACACACACACACACACACACACAGACATAGACAGACAGAGAGAGAGAGAGAGAGAGAGAGAGAGAGAGACAGAGACAGAGACAGAGACAGAGAGAGACGGAGAGACACAGAGAGAGACAGACAGAGACAGACAGAGGATAATTTCCAGGCAGTCCCTGCTTACTTGCAGGCCTAGTTCCACCTAAGAAAGACCAGTATGCACAATGTGTAAGGCAGCGAAAAGCACTGGCTAGGGGAGTCGGATGAAGTGGTCCTGTTATTGAGTGGCGTCTAGCAGCCTTAGTTTGGCTTGGCAGCAATGTATGCAGATCCACTCAGAATCTTTTCAGTAAGTTATGCACAATATACTAGACACACTCAGCTTATACTCCATAGCAAGTGTAGTACGGAATGTCGATATGGAATTCCTGTCACGAAACTCTTGCTGTTTGAACATGTGATTACAGGTGTGTGCCAGAGCATACCAACAGATCTGGCGCTGGCCACGGCTTGCTGATTCATCCGGTGATACAGACATCTATGATGATGTGGGTCGGTGCTACTTACTTCCAAGTCAGCTTGATGACGAGCAGTCTATTCAGACCATCCAGGCTTGCCATTACTTCAGCAATAATGTTGGTAAGAACTAAGAAAGCGATAGTTTCCTATTGGATGTGGATTCCCGTTCTCTGTTTTCCTCTTTAGTAAGGCTTATTCCTACAGCTATATGGGCTTATTTTTTAATTTTTATTTATTTTTTAAATCTTTTTGCCTTTCTGTCGAAAGTGCATATATAATTACGAGCATGCTTTGTGCAGCATGGGTATATTGCTGTCTGCACAGTGAAACAGTTCAGAATCAACTTCAACCAAGTACCCTGCATAATTATAACATATTTTTTTCATTAATGATGATAATTAGAACTCTTATGCTGAGCCAAAGTAATCATGGATAAAAAAAAAAAAGGACAACATGCTACGAGTTACGACTAACTGCCCACCAACGGGTCATCAAATGTCTCAGTACTCCTTGTCAGCTTGTGCATTTTTGTCGCATTTGCTGACTGTATATTATGATCTGGTTACGTTGGTGGACAGTTAGTCATAACTCGTAACACTTTGTCCTTCTCCTTTTTATCCATAACAATAATTAGGACGTTTAGCAATGCGAAAATTTGAACTTTTGGTGGTGGTGATATTTCGCGAAAATCTATTTCGAAAAAGAAAACTTGTGAGGTTTAGCAATGCGAAATGACTTTTTCTCGAAGTTATTTGAATCTTATAGTACCGTACCGTATATGCAGGTCAGTCTCAAGCAGGAGACTGTAAAATTACTACTCCCTGTAGTCAAATGCGTACCGAGAAAAGAGAAAGTTACTTTCGCAAATCACTGCAACTTCGCGTCCAAGCTTTTGAAGTTTCGAGCTTTTTTCCTGTACTCATTCCCGGACTCGAATTTTCTTTCGAACTTTCGCGTTGCTAAACGTCCTTAAAGGGGAAGCTAAGGCAAAAATTAAAATTTCACCAGTTGTAGTCTTCGGGGTGCTGAGTCGAATGGTCGTGGTCCGAGGAAGCTGAGACACTCCCTTCCTACTTGAATCCCAATCGAACTCGCGCACTTCCACCGAAACTAGGTGACTGCGCCCTACGAGATGGGGATTTGTATGCAAAATGTCACTAAAAGCGCCATTTCGTTCTTATAAAAGCACGGATGACCGCGATTGGCCCATATGTTGTAGTCTTTTGGACGCTGAGTCGACTGGTTTTGGTCCGAAAAGGCTGCGATGCAGCGTTCCTCCTTTATTCCCAATCGAACATGGTTGAACAAGCGGTCACGTGCTCCTGCGTACACCAGTCACCTGGTCACCGTGCCTGCAGGGTACAACTTACTAGCCTGTTTGACCTTTTTTGGGTGCAGTCCTGTCACTCGAGTTGAACTCGAGTTGAACCTTGGTGTGAAAGTTGTCGCCTGCTGGCGTGGTGACCAGGTGATTTGGGCACCCAGGAGCACGTGACCGCTTGTTCAACCATGTTCGATTGGGAATAAAGGAGGAACGCTGCATCGCAGCCTTTTCGGACCAAAACCAGTCGACTCAGCGTCCAAAAGACTACAACATATGGGCCAATCGCGGTCATCCGTGCTTTTATAAGAACGAAATGGCGCTTTTAGTGACATTTTGCATACAAATCCCCATCTAGTAGGGCGCAGTCACCCAGTTTCGGTGGAAGTGCGCGAGTTCGATTGGGATTCAAATAGGAAGGGAGCGTCTCAGCTTTCTCGGACCAAGACCATTCGACTCAGAACCCCGAAGACTACAACTGGTGAAATTTTAATTTTTGCCTTAACTTCCCCTTTAATAAGTATGGATTATAGACTGATTAGGAGGTCTATACAGGACATACGGACCTCCTAATCGGTCTATAATCTATTTATCACTCTTCTATATCGACCTCCACTAATTCTCGTGATCCTTGACTGGTCCTATATTACCCATATCGCCGTAATATCGGCCGCTTGTATCGACCACTTAGGCATTGTAATCTTTCGACTCTGGAGGGACTTAGAAAATTTCTCTCCACTTCAAAAAGAAAATTTGAAAGAAAGAAGACAGAGGAAGAGAACAAGCAGGATTTGAACCCACAACAGTATGAATCTCAAGCAACCCCTTATACCACCCAGCCACTGTGCTGCAGATGCTGAACCCTGTTGTTCTTACAGTCTTGTACCCAAAATAGGCAACATCCTATGTACACTATAGTACAAATGCTATACTAAAAAGGTTAAAATAGCTCCTAAAGGTTCAAATTCTGGGGTTATGGCAAAGGAATCGTGATAAATAGGATATTGACCTCGACTTCGGTCTATATGGGAAATATAGACCTCGTCTTGGTCAATATCCTATACTTATCGTATTGTCCACGTAACAGTTTCTCTTCACATACGGCATATCCTTGTAATTTTGGATAATTACTCTACTGTAGCCTATACCGCATTGTACTGCATTGCACTCTTTATACTGTGTTCAGCATCGGTAGCACAGTGGCTGGGTGGTAAGCAAGAGTGACTGAGATTGTATACAGTCATGTAGATTCTCATTAGTTATTGCCATCGGATATGGAATCCCAAGTATGGCTCTCAGCTGGCGGCGATGAGATGCGCCCAGCTTAGCGTGACTTTTGCTGTAAGCCCCCATGTTTCGCATCATCACTCATGAATGCTTGTTATGCATCATCTGCTGTATGCTGTGCCCATGTGTGTCATTGCACCTTCTCCAGAAAAGGGTCCAGGAAAGTACTGGCTATCGCAGTGTGGTGTTGGAGATCGTATAGATGCCATTCAGCTACAGACCGAGGAAGCACAGCCTAGCGACTCTAACCAAACAGCACAGAGTATAGAACACTATCAGTTTGCTATCGGAGGACCATCCCAACTCATTGGCAGAGGTATGTGTGTGTGTGTGTGTGTGTGTGTGTGTGTCCTCTTGCACAGATCTCTGGACCTCTTCCAACTATCCAAAAAAATATGAAACCTGCTATGCATGCCAGCCTGACATGAAAATATGCTTGGTACCATGATGATTTTTGTTTACAAGTATGTTCTGTTGTTATTGGGTACTGAAGATGCTTAGATTGATTGCATACCGCGGCACTGTGTGGCTGATGAAATGCCATGTTTTTGCTTACACAGTGTTTACTTCTATTTCAGTAAAGGGAGCAGCGTACTATCCTGAAGAGGGTCGGTCCATTGTTAGTAGGCATATGCCTGTTTTGATTTCCACTATGAATAAAGTATACAACAACAAACACAAGAGAAGAGAAAGAAACGTTTTATACTAGTAGATGAAAGTAACTGTCTTATGACTTGACTGTGTGGACTTGCGTTGTTGCATGCGAAGTTAGATTGCGAAATTAGTTTGACCGCCTCCAAACCATTGTTCTCCTTTTCTGAACTAACTTTTTGTTGAGCAGGGCAGACGTTTCTTGTGGAGTACAACACTTCCGCTGATGGCAATGCAGACGTGCGGACCACCGGTTTCCCGCACACGGAAAACTTTATAGACACGTACATGGGATACGGCCTGACGCAGGGCGACATTGACGGCGACGGAACTGTGGGTGAGAGAAGAGATCACACGGTCATGGTGTCAGTGATATGCACGGTTGTGCATTCCTATTGTTACATACATGCACATAGTAGCTTGTGTGCTGTAGGGCCAGTGCCACTGATACGCCAGACCAGCTACAGCCATGGCCATACCAGTTTTGTAAAATTCCAGTGTTCAGCGTGCGACTATTTGGAAGTACTGATTGGCTTTCATCAGACAATCCTGGCTAGAGTCTATTCCTCACGAACAGGTATTCTTGTTCGCTGAGGAATACCGTTCTAACTGGACGTCAACAGAATGTGTCGCTAAAACCACCAGACATTGTGCATAGGACTAGACATGCATACAGCTATTATGAAGAAATTGGACCAAGTGACATACCAGTAGTCCACCTTGTGTCCACCTTGTAGCCAACAACATGGGGCCGCCATAGCTGAATACATACAAACGGTTCAGCATTCTTTGCCCCTAGTTTTGCCATACTACCATAGTGTGTGTGATTTGAAGGTTCGACTATCGTAGCGCCGGTTTGTGATATTTACAGAGGGGAGTGCGTGTATTATTCTTTGGCAACTTGACTCCATTTTGATCTCTTATCGAGCTGTGCACAGCACCTGTTTCGAGGTTCTTCTGCACCCATAGCTCATATGCACAACACATGCAACACGGTGAGGTGCTTGACCCATGAACAAGGCTGAGCACCCTATGTCTGTACTCTCTCTGGGCAGCAACAAACATCCTCAAATTCAACTATTGAGTGCAGCGCCTATTGTCATATTTGTAATTCACCTTGCGTGCTTTGCAGAACTGGTTTCATCGCGTCCACGGGAGTATGAAGGCGGCTGTGTCTGGATCCTGGTCGGAGAGGCAGACTATAAGCGGTTTCATTCCACTCACTTCAACCCAGCCAACCTACTCATCATAATACGCTCGCGCGAGGAGGTACAGTAGTCTGCTGCACAATGACATATCTCACAATATCATTGCACACGCGAACATTGCTGAATGAAAACGTTCACACAAAGTGTCATTATAGAAGGCAGCAAACTTATGTTTGGCATTTTCATTCCTCCTTTTCCATTCCTTTTGTTTTTGCTCTTCTTTCATCGAAATTCCCAGGTAGGAGAGTACTTTGGCTACAGCATGGCCTTGGCTGATGTCAATGGTGATGGGTAAGTCATCAACTGTTCTGTCATCTGCTTTGCACTCGAAGAGTTTAGATCCAAGAACCGACAAATGCCAAATTTGAGAAATTGAGATTTTCAGCTCAGTTGTACCAAAAGGTCTAGAGGAACCTTCAGACAAAAAATTCCCATTCAAATTCGGACTAGAACCATTTCAAAAATGGTGGCCAAATGTGGGGTTAGATACAAACTTCACATAAAACGAGTCCCTTTTTGGTCATTAACCGACAAGTGATGGAATGGATGTCGCGTTTTGCGTCTGAACTGATCAATCATTGTTCTCTTGCCATGCAGGACTTGTGTGCAATGGCACCAACATCAGTTGACATTACTTATCCACAGTTGCTTAGTGTGCCGGAGAAAAGAACATGCACCGTTTTCGGAAGATCTCAATGATCACTAACTTTTAAACACTGAATTCTTTTATCTTCTGGCTATCCCCTGTGCAGGCTTAGCGATCTGATTGTTGGAGCACCGCTCTACTCCACTGCAGACTCCCATGGGGAGCACAAGAGACAGTATGACGCCGGGCATGTTTACATCTTTGGAGGTGAACAGCTTGCAGAAGTAAGATGGTACCGCACTCCCCGCAGTGCTAACAGTGTACAAGTTAAAAACACAACAATATTTATATAAATATTATAAGAAATGGTTTGCTCCAGAATAATGTCATCAACACAGAAAATGATGTCATCGAGACTGTCAATGATGTCATCAAGACTGTACTGTAAGGAATGGACCTGCACAGCACATACCAGCTGCCAATCGGTGACACAGAATATGAGTTTAAGCTGGCCTCGGGAAACAATGACTTTATAATAGATGAGGATGACCGTCCCAATGTTTCACAGGGCAATGATGTGCAATCTCTCAGGTGCACAGTAATAACACTGTATCCATAAGCTCTCCCAAGCCCATTTGCTATCATAATTGTGTATGATGAATACGGACCCAGAATTTGGACCCAGATGATGTACAGGTTATCAGGTGTCTGAGGATTGCCTTCGCTTTGCTATGTGCGTGAACCGCAGCGTTACAACAATGACCTAGGGGGTTGTCTCTGTTCTCTTCTGCCTTTGTGTTAATGCTTCATCCTTGTGGTGTTGAGCACCCTAGGTAATCTGGGAATTCTCGCTATTATGGTGAATACGTGTAAACGAGGGGTTGCTACATTGCATATTCAGTATCCAGTATGATGTATGAAACGGACTTTAAAACCATGTTTCTTGCGTCTTTCTCGTTGTAGCTAATTGCTCAGCGCCATGCTTCCAGTGCAATCAGCAAGCTGCGGGCAGCTGAAGGCGATGGAGGTCACATAGTAGGCCAGGGACGCTCATGGTTTGGAGCTACCGTCGTATCGATGGGAGACATGGACAGAGATGGATACGAGGGTACGGTTAACTAGGAATCCTGAAAAATGATACCCCATAAGCGTGGTTGCCATAGAGTCTCCAGTCGTAACTTCCTGATATTAAGCCGGCCAGTGTCAAATGGTTCAGGACATTATAGAAACGAGTTAAGAGTAACTCTCCATCACTGTAACTAGATACTATATACAGTCAGAAAGTGCAACAACTAGGCACAAAACTGACAAAGTACTGAGACATTCGACGTCCTGACACCTAGCTTCCTAGCTAGTACTCTGTCAGTTCTGTGCCTCGTTGTTGCACTTTCTGACTGTATATAGTATCTAGTTACAGTGGTGGAGAGTTACTCTTAACTCGTTTCTATAGGTCCTTTTCCTTTCTACTTTTATTATTGGCTCAATACCCGAGTTTCAAATGGTTCATTTTGCATTTTACTTTTGTGTTGCTGCCCAGATATAGCAATTGGAGCTCCATTTGAGGAGATTCCTGGAGGTTCCACGGGTGCTGTTTATCTCCACTTTGGTTCAGCCGCTGGACTGCAGTTAACAGCAAAGCAGAAGCTGACACCAGAAAGTGTTGCGCACCACACAGCAGCCATGCACGGTTTTGGATTCTCCATATCCAGGCGCTGGGATATCGATGCCAATGGATTCAATGGTGAGATTTTTGCACGGAGGAAATAATACATCAGCTGCAATAGATTCAGCCATTATAGATACTGTATTTGCTGAATATGGGGCCGGTCTTATATTGCCGCCTGTCTGAAACAAGCGCTACATCATTTCAGGGCTTTTGTGTGGATTTTAAAATTTTATGACTTGGGGCTCCCAGCGTGTTAGTTTGTACGTGAATTGTGTGGGTTGGGTACAGTGAGGGCTGCGCCCCACCCGCCTGTGTGGATTCACAGGAAGTGTGAGTTTCGAAGTAGGCAGAAAATGTTGAATGGTCTGTGCTGGAATGACAGCTACACCATAGCCCAGTGGTTGGAGCATCGCTGGCCTCAAGCGAAAGTCCCAGTGGTTCGAGTCCTGGAGGGGACAGTCAATTTTTCTTCAGAGTTTTCCCGTTTACATCTTTCCCAAAAAAGGGAATATTTTCAAACTGGGTGAAACATTTGGGCTCGCGAACCACTAAACACCTCAGCCAGTATTGCCGAAAACAGAGTAGTTTAGTAAATTTGAGTAGTAGGGCAAGTCCCAATGTCATAAAATTCACTATACATGTACATGTGTGTGGTACTCTCTGTTTTCTGACTGTGGTCTCTGTGCCATTTTTCTTTTCTTTTTCTAATCACAATGAGATTTCGCTGAGATCTTGTGCAGATAACTGACCTAGCAGTATGCCAGTGCCTCCAATGCACTGGCAAAGGAATACTGATCTGTTCTAACTGAACCCAACACTCGTATTTCAATGTTCTGATATGTGAATTTCCGTGTGATCATTCACTTAGTTTTCTGATGTCTTTATGTGGTTTCGTGCTCTAGACCTTGCAATCGGTGCTCCGCTCTCATCTGTAGCTACTGTGTTCAGGTACATGTGTTGGCATGTTTGTGTACCAGTTATAGTAGCTAACAGAAACATAGCTCAGTGAGAGCTGGATAGCCCTGGTCAACAGCTGGATAGCCCTGGTCACGCAGCAAACACAATGCAGACTTACGTCTTGGCCGTTGGAGTCTGCCAAGCACGTGGTGGTACTCTAGCATGTTGCAACTTGCAAGTGAAGTTCAGTGAATCAATTATGTATTACTTATCTAGGATTGTGAATGTGACCAGTCCGGCAGAGAGGGAGAGCAGTGCCAACCGGTGTGGAGGTGCGAGTTACCTTCCTTTGCTGCTTGGTGGGGCTTTAGATAATGTTGTCCCCCCCTCTACTGAAACCCCCCCCCCCCTCGAACCATGCACCATCATCAAACAGATTATGATGACTTTCTTATAAAGGGGGGGGGGGGGGGGAGTGAACGAGTGACTGATGTGGAACCCTATTTGCAGAAGTTGCCAACTGAAGGCTACTATCTTAGAACTATACCTACATGACTCTCATCGTATGGTATTCAATGGCATCTGCTGTCTGCTGTGACCTGTGATTTGGGCAGATCTCGCCCGGCCATTGTGGTCACCATGCACATCATTGTTCCACGTCATCCGGCCAACGAGCACACGTACTGTGATGCTGCACAGCTCACCAACGTCCTATGGTTAGTGCAAGAGCCTGGGCTAGTGCATTTTAAGTGGGACTTTGCCATAGCATGCATCATATCACTACAGGAAATACTTCGAAAGATTTCCCCTCAAATCATTACCAGCCCGGGAGTCTACCTCTGTGTGGTCAGTGAAATGGTCTGGGCTAGTGCATTTTAAGTGGGACTTTGCCATAGCATGCATCATATCACTACAGGAAATACTTTGAAAGATTTCCCTCAAATCATTGCTGGCCCGGGAGTCTACCTCTGTATTGAATTCGACGAGCAAGCCTGTAACATGCAAGTTGCAGGTAAATGCATGAATCCAGAACAGCTGGGATGGCATGATGCACATCATAATGGGTCTGACGGTGACTGCCAAATGAATGCCTCTCCACGTGACTGAATGCAGGGAGTGAATTGATTTTGCCGCAGTTCTTCATCATGCCTGTATTCGCGGACTATGGCATGTTGACACTGATATAGCTGACCTTCTCTATTTCCCTGTGGTTGATTGCAGCACCAAGGTGTCAGTGTGTGCCAGCTATACGAATATCGGTGCTGACGTTGAGGCAGGTATGTGACAACTACCATGTTCCACATCTGAGCTCACTTCACCATCCAACCGATCAGAAACACTGCTAAATGAATGCCAGCACAACCATAATTGTTCGTCCTCTAGAAAAAAGACCATACGTATGGGAGAGTCTGGCTTCATAATAATCATCCCAAAAGCTTGATGTCCACTGCGAAGGATTTGCCTATGCCCTATCCCACAGCTCCATTCCCCTGGTACCTACAGTGTTTTTGTGGATACTGGACAGGGTACTTAGCAAGCCGAGGTGCTTGGTATGTTACGAGCCCTGAACATGTATCCAATTTGAGCACAATCCACAGCGAAGCCTCAGAGCTATGTGGCGCATATTTCAGACGGGCGGTTATAAAGACCCGCCAAGAATCGGAACATATGGAAGTCACATTCGTCTAGTTACAGTCGGCTCCACTTATAACGAACTCGCATATAGCGAATTTCGTAATATAGCGAACCCATGACCATGTCTCTGATTGGACCCATAACAAATTGACCCTCTATAGCAAACAGTTACCGTCCACAACTATCTCGCAGGGCCGCATGTAAACCAAGTGCACTCATACTGTCATGGGCTACTTGCCAGTCATGACTTGATGCTTGTGTAGTGTGAGTGCATTTCAGTAATAGCAAACTTCGGCTGTAAAGAGCTATTATTCTCCTGCACAATGTCGTTCGTTATGTGAGGAGTCGACTTTATATGCGACCATTGCATTTTGTTTTCTGGTAGAGATCCGGTATGTTGCCAAGGTGAAAGGCTCTCTCCTCTTCAGCACCGACAGTCTAATACTGAGTACATCGGCTGGAGGCACTCTGAAACTGGCAGAACAGTTTCCGGCACGCAAATGCTTTGACCATATTTTAATATTACCTGTAAGTGTTTGTATATAAATCGTGACAATGTCATGCTGTGAATGGTAGAGGTGCTTGGTGTGGCTAGTTCAAGTACGCCATTTCAATGCTTGTCAAGGAGATGAAATACGCAATATTGTAGCCGGTGTCCAAAATCTATGTACGAGTATGGACGAAAATAAGGAGCCAACAACAAAACTGGGGATTCATTGGCCAAGTACCACTTTGAAAAGTTTTGTGGTGTAGAAGAGGCTGAATAACGTCAGAAGCGGTCAATTCTTCAGCCATGCAAGATGTTGAATGGTGTAATCCCTGTACAAGTTGCAATAGCGTCCGCAGTAGTGTCATTTGTGCATGCGTACATGTGTGCGTGTGCACGTGCGAGCATGAGAGAGCGCACGTGTGTGTGTGTGTGTGTGTGCGCGTGTGCGCGTGCGTGTGTGTGTGTGTATGTGTGTGTGTGTGTGTGTGTGTGTGTGTGTGTGTGTGTGTGTGTGTGTGTGTGTGTGTATGTATGTGTGTGTGTGTGTGTGTGAGTGTGTGCGAGGGTGCATATGTACGTGTGTGTGTGTGTCCAACTGTGCGTTTACAGGCCTTACGCAGCCCATGTTTGCACACTACCGTGTCCGTTAGCGAATGGCATCTTGTAGATCATCGCAGCACTCGCGCCAACTTGAGCCCCGTTCTGAAGCAGAACACACACAAACTACCAACTCCAGCTGTGGTAAGTCAGTGAGTCCATGCGTACTTTGTGGCCATGACCGCTCAATGCTAGCTTGTTGTATTATAGGTATGTTCCAGCTGAGCAATTCAACCATACCCTAGTGGCTGAGGAGAAAGAGAGTTCTAGTGCCAACGTGCCGTAGCAGCACATCAACCGGTTATCCCCATGAGATCGTCGCACTGTCTGCATATCTATGCTGTTTTTGAATCACCAGGGTCTGAAACCTGTTTTCATGGTTCTTTATGTTTTAATTCCGCGTTAGGTTGAGTTTGTGCGACCCTGTGACGGCTGTCAACCTGATTTGCGGCTACAAAGATTGCGCTTGGAGCCAGGGTAAGGTGCATGGCAATGGAACTTGATCCGGTGGAGGAGCAAAATGTTTTCACACTCCTGCTGCTGTTGGATGTCTGTGCTAGTGGTGCTTCAGAAATTTGCAACCATGCTTGTTTTTCTGACGTGCACGCACACACACGCACACATGCACGTGAACTTGCGCACACATGTACGCATGCACACACAATCATGTACACACACATGCACGTACACACATTCTCTCTCAGGCCATGCACACAGTGACATACACAAGTACACACACAAGTATACACTTTTGACCGTTGGACGCCCATCGCCGGATGATAGCGATGCTACAGCAGAAGTCATAGCAACTTGTGCTGGGATTGCACCACTCAACAGCTTGCAAGGCTGAAGATTTGACCACCACTATTCAGCCTGGCCCGCCTGCCCGCCCGCCCGCACGCACGCACACGCACACACACACACACACACACACACACACACACTGACACACACACACACACCGACACACACACACACACACACTTTTAAGAAAGGCTACTTGGTTATGAAGTCTCATTGCGTAGTATATATGCTATTTCCTTTTGTGCTTGAACAGGACTAGTCAGAGACCGATCGTACTGGGCAGGGAGAAACGTCTTCTCCTGAAGTTTGAGGTGGCAAACCAGAATACACACTGTGCTGACATATCTGGTGCATGCGGTGCTAAGTTTAAACTTTCCCTTCCAGCCGGACTGACGTTCAAATACGTACTGGTAAGACACGTTAGCGCTTGCACCCGAATGCATCAGAGCAGTGTATAGGAAATGGGAGAGCCAAGTGACTACATGCAATGGAAAGTCACAGAGCAAAGCTGCATGCATACCCACGTATTCTCACAACACCGCACAAGGATGATTGGGGTACACCAGTGTGCTGGTTTCGATCAACTGGTGAAGCGATTGGCGTTGCAAACAGCCAAAGTGATCGCTCACGACTGAGCTGCAGCAGTACCCGCGACCGGGTGCAAAGTTCCCTGATCGACGTTGCAAACAGCCAACCAGGGTGAAGCAGTTGGCGTTGCAAACGGCCAAAGCAATCGCTCATGCTTGAGCGGCAATAGTACCCGCGACCGGGTGCAATGACTACTGATTGGCGTCGCAAACAGCCGACCAATAGTATGCAATTTTAAGCAGAGATAGTAGCAGCAAAGCAACCAGTTGAAGGAAGCTGTTCCCAGAAAACCAGCACACGGCACCCCAGCAAGCGTTCACCACCAATGCACGAGAGCTAAGAACAAGTGATCAAGGCACGAGATGGATAAAGGTAGGCATGCAGATGGATGAAATCCAACGCAGGTTCTCAATACGGCAATTTAGCAATGACAATCGGTACCTGTATGTCAAGGCTATATTACATCGACTGGAATGGCAGCACTGCTCGGTCTGGTTGTGCTTGAGCAGCTGGAGCGAGACGTCGGAATTCCTCCATGCGGAAACGAGACAGCGAATCGGCAATGCAGTTAGACTGGCCAGCAATGTGAGCAGCAGTGACGGTGAAATTGAAGCGGGCGCACACAAAGAACAGCTCCCTGATCAGGGTCATCACTGGCGGTGACTTGGATGTGCCGGAGCGGATGCAATCTACCACAGCCTTGTTGTCGCAGTGCATTGTGATACGAAGCTGGCGCCATTCCTTGGCCCACGTGCAGCACGCTGTGACCAACGCGTAGAGCTCCTTCCACTCAATGCTGTGAGTGAGTTGCTCAGGCGACCAGGTCCCTTGAAGCCAGCGGCCGCTGTTGAATGCGCCCCAGCCCAGGGTGCCACTGGCATCAGTGAACAGCTCCAAGTCTGGAGATGGTGTCCAATCTGGGAACAGGAAGAATGATTTTCCGTTCCATTGTTCCAGGAGCCGTAGCCACCATTGGATATCTTCCTGGCACTCGGTAGTCAGACTGATGCGGTAGTGAGGCTGCTGGTAGCGACTGCAAATAGATTACAGGCGCCGCATAAATGTCCGGCCGGGTACGATGACTCTTGCAGCGAAGGAGAGTTTCCCCAGAAGAGATTCGAGTTCGCGCTGAGACATGGTGGGGTTGATGCTCGCTGCAGTCAACAGGCGCTTGGTGTCGGCCAATTTGTCGTCAGGGAGCCGGGCTTCCATCTTCTCACAATCCAGGATAATGCCCAGGAATGTCAGGGTACGAGACGGGCCTTCCACCTTTGCAGGCGCGAGCGGGACTCCGAGGTATGAGAATGCACGGAGAAGAATGGCCAGCTGCCGATTCGCCACTGCCTGGCCCACGCTCACGCACAAGTAGTCGTCCAGGAAATGCAGCAAATTAGGGATGGAGAATTCGTGGTGCATTATCCATTCGATGGTGGCTGCCACTGCATCAAATACCGCCGGGCTAGAGCGGAGCCCAAATGGCAAGACACGGTCGTAGTAGTACTTCCCCTGCCACAGGATGCCGAGGAGATGCCAATCCTGTGGGCGGACAGGTATTTGACGAAAAGCACTCTTCACATCGAGTTTAGAGAGATAGACAGGAGACGGGGAGGACATAATGATGTTAATGGCTTCATCAATGCTGATGTACTGCAAAGAGAAAGGCTCGGCAGGGATCCCGTCGTTAACGCTGGAGCCGGCAGTGCTGGACAGGTGGTGTATCAAGCGTAGCTTGCCATTCTTTTTCGGAACAGCGCCAATGCCAGAGCAGTACATAAATGGGAATGGGGGCGAGTCAAATGGGCCAGCCGTGTAGCCGGCGTTGCAGGAAGCGGTGAGCTGTGCAGACACAAATGCAGAGTGCTGGAATGCTGATGAGAGGTTGGACGAGTGCTGGTTAGTTATGCGGTTGCCGGTAAAGCCAATGTCAAAGCCGCAGCGGAGGCCGTTAATAACATACGAAGCCAATGAACTGTCAGGGTGGTTACGGAGCAGTGATTCGAAGCGAGAAACAGAGAGGGGTGTGTGGACAGTAGGACACTGATGCGCTTGTGAAATCAGTAGAACGTGAAGTGCAGGGAGAAATATGTACAATCGCGGGAGCTGCAGCCAAAGCAGCAGAGTTACTGGCGCCTACCGCACTTAGACCCGTTGTGGTCCTTGGACCCGCAGCGGTTGCAGACATGGGCGTACTTGCACGTGCTGAGACTGCAACGCCCAGCGTTGAAGTTCCGGCAGATCGGTTGGCCATTAGACACCGTACGGACTCCATTGAAGGCTTGCTGGTTGTTACGTTGCGGACGAAAGGGACACTGGCCGCCTCCAGGATGGATGAGGCGGCAGGACTCACATGTGGGCCTTGATCGGCTAGTCACGGACATTTGCCACAGATTTATGTCGATGACGTCAAAGCGCTTGCCTGGCTGAGCAGAAATGGCAGAGCGAAACTGGGTGTCGTACGACAGCCAAGCCTCCGGATAGTATTGCCTGTTGGCTGCAACTATGGTGGCTTGGTAGGAGAGCATCTCCTGCAGGCGGGACGGGTTGGCAGAACACACGACGTTCATGAAGAGAGTCCATGCCTCCAGCCATGTCGGCAAGTCGTGGACGCGTCGACGAACGGGCTGCGCCGCTCCACCTTCCACCACCTCCAGAGACTGGCCGCCACTGTTGAACTGCAGCTGAAGCTGGCGTGGGGCAGAATACGAGGTGGCGATAGTATCGGGCAGCAGCTGGGTGAAATCTACAAAGTCACCCTTCAATATTTTCTCTCGTATAGTCTGGGGAACGGAGAGATTACCAGCGTTGGAAGACTGCGCCGAAGGTTGAGTTCCAGCGGATCCAGGGGCAGTGATGGTGGCCAGCATTGGAGCGATCGCCTCCGACAAGGCAACAGTGACGGCGGAATGTACTTCCTGCCGCACAAACTGGCGCAAATCGTCATTACTGCTCCGGTCCGGGATCTGGGGAGTCGGAGAAGCTGCTGCAGCACTCTCCAGATCCTGCTCTTGCTCCTGCTCGTGCTCCTGCCGCGAGGATGGCGTGGCCGACGGAGATCGAGGTTCCCGTGCCGCCGAGCTCGACGTGTCCTGGATACTGAGCAGCAAACGGGCAAGAAGCTGGGGCTTTGTTCCGCTCGAATTCAGCCCACGGCCTTCCAGCTCGGCCCGCAAGTCCGACACGTTCATACGGCGTGCTTCAGAGGTAGACAACATGTTTGTCGTGCAGTAAACGGCTGCGAGGAATCTACAAGGAGTCTGAATAATTAATTCTATTCTCAACAAACAAATTCCGGTTGCTGCTCAGTGACACTGCAAAGGAAAGCAAACAAATTCCGGTTGCTGCTCAGTGACACTGCAAAGGAAAGCGCAAGCCAAAGTCAGCGCAGCAAGAGCTACCCAAGGCGATTTGGGCGCGCATGCGCAGCAGTTGAGTGCACGTGTAAAGCCAGCTCGATCGCAGCTAGCATGAGATAGAGAGCAGCGCATCGGTCTTATCGCTAACTAGGGTTAGCCCAAAAGCTAACCCAACATTTGTGTGCAGAAAGTCCTGCAGTATGCTTGTGCATGACTGTACTGCCCGAAAACAGTTTGCTTGTCTTTGCTCAATTGACTCATACATGTGTTTCATATAGTATGGTTTTGTCTATACTGACTGATGGCTAGGCTTGGTGACGTTTTCCCAGACAAAAATTCCGAATTCTACTCTCCTCTCTGATCCAGCTCTGGTTCTTTTTTGAGATCTATGTTCTAAGTCGCCTGTGTGTGTGTGTGTGTGTGTGTGTGTGTGTGTGTGTGTGTGTGTGTGAGAGAGAGAGAGAGAGAGAGAGAGAGAGAGAGAGAGGTAGTGCGTGTGTGTGTGTGTGTGTGTGTGTGTGTGTGAGTGTGTGTGAGTGAGCGAGAGAGAGAGAGAGAGAGAGAGAGAGAGAGAGAGAGAGAGAGAGAGTGTGTGTGTGTGTGTATGTGTGTGTGTGTGTTTGTATGTGCATGTGTTCATTCATGCTATGTTCTTATGTGTTATTTTCCCCTATGTAGCAAGGTCACATCCGTGCTTGTAGTGCGGATGTCGATGCTGGCAGTGCATCGTGTCACATACGACCCATCATTCCACCGGGCACCACGGTGAGTTACAGCGCAATACCAGCAAATCAGCCAGTCAGCCTACCCATACTTCTAGAGCCCTGTCTAATGACCACTGGGACATAGTCTTCCATGGTTCTGAGCACACATGTCATGCTCTATGTTGCGAATGGACCCGACTTTGTCTCTTATAACCCCGTTTTCTATTTTAACTCAACATGCAGAGGTAAAATTATGTCGTTCTTGAAAAACTAAAGCAATGAAATCCGACCATGCAAACAGTAGTACTAGCAGGCAGCACCACGGACAACCTGCAATAAAACCATCAACACATATCAATACAGTTACCATGATAGATTCAGTTCATTGTGTGCATCAACTGCGTACGGTTTCCTTGTCAGCTGTTAGCAAATGTTTCTCACGTTGCCTTCTCTTGTTGGCCGGCCATGCAGGAGACGTTTGAAGTTCAGCTGAACGTTGACAAAGCCCTTTCCAACTCTCTTGAGCGCTATCTGAGCGTCGGCGTTCTTGTGCGAAGGTAAGCATCAGACGGTTGCTGAACGTAGACTGGTAATGGGGAAATGCCTCCTTACGGTGCAAATCGTATCATGGATGGATGGTTGATGGGGCAGCGGGTAGAATTCAATTTTGATATATTTCATGGCTCGTTACAGGGAGAAGAGAGGACAGGAGAAGAGAGGGAAGGGGTTGGGTTAAGGAGCTGCTTGCACCACTACTACCCGTCAAAAATAGAAAATGAAAAATTTGCGAGAAGTGAACCCATTTTTCTGCCATTGCTTCCAAGTCCGAGTGCACGGATTCCGAAATGGCTTTGAGTAGTGAAGCAGTGCTTTAACCCCTTTAGCGCGAGCGTCGTACTAGTACGACGCACATGAGTTGCATGCCCCACGGCCGTCGTACTAGTACGACGCGCGCTGTACACTGTACAGTGAACCTGCATCTCATAGTCGTGGGGTCCGTGTTGAGTCCATAGTGACTTGTTCAATCTATCGTAACTCACTCAATACTTGGTCGATTCTCACAATCGAAACATGTATCTGCAAGAGAAAACTCTCAGCTGGCGATAGAAACAATCGCCGAAGCGATGCGACCACCGGTTGTTGAGATATGCGACTCGACACGGCAAATTTCAACTCGATTTTTTTGCGCAGTCTGCAGAACGCGTATTTTCCATCATGGATCATTTGTGCGCTACCTGCTGCCATGGAAACAAGATTCAAATGATGGTAGTGGATCCCGTGAGTCCTCACAAAAAATTTGAGCTCGATACGAGCAAGGAGACCGAAATGGCAGCTGAATATTTGAGCTTGGTTAGTCTTGGCCGTGCTCAAGTCTGTCGAGCGCGTGGATGAAGTTTGCCAGACTGTAGCACGGGGTTTTGGTTTCGCTCCGAGCTAGGTTTGACACCAGTTTGTCACTCGTCTCAAGACCTTTCCAGGAAGCTCAAGATCGTTGAATTCGTCCAAGGGAAGGTAAAGTTATCGATCCTTGAGCAGCTAGTACTTTCATGGGAAAATGCGACTTTTACAGGTGTTGTCGTGGGGCGCGCTCAGGTAGCGTCGTGCTAAAGAGGTTAAAGAGTAGTTTTCACTGATCAGGTTTTTCATACAGCTTCTCTTCTAGTGTACTACTCCGGCCTAGATCCTGTCATTGTGGTCTTGTCTCACTTGGTGCATGGCAGTTCTAGCTGCCCATCCACCTTCCCCAGTAGTGTACACGTGTTGCCTCTGATTGTCCTGGTGGTCCCAAGCATACTGCAGGCGAAGTACAGTGCCTAGATTCTTGGGTCTCGCTTCCCGGCGTCTGTTTTGTTTTTGGACTGGCAGTGGGGCAGGTAACAATTCAGTACAGCAGATGGATTTTTGTTGGCTGCGAAGCCCATCTTGCCCGTATTCTTGTGCAGCGGTCATGGCTAGGACGTTAGGCAGTCTTGTGTCCATGTGCTCGCTGCTTGCCCAGTCACCCAAACTGTACTGCCGTCACACTGCTTGTCCGGCGTCTGCCTTGTTGTAGACTGTGGTATCATACTGGCCAACCCTCCCGTTTTTCCCGGGAAAATCCCGGAAAATCAACACTCCTCCCGGGGTCCCGGGGATTTCAAGCAAACTCCCGGAAAAACCAAAGTTTTGTCTGATACAGGATTTTCCTGAAAACTCCATGGTTTCTCCCCGAATGTCCCGGTTTTTTGAACTTTTTTCAAAGGTATGTACGGTGCTCATTCGCACTTCGAACTGTGCACAGCACTTTGAAGACCTGACCATGCAAGATCTGCACTGACAAAGTGACAGGCGGGCGCCGACTGATCAAACTGCACTACAGCCTACAGTCCGTTTCAAAAAGATTTGCAATCCTGGCGATCGCCCGCGGAGTTTGGCGTCTTACCGTATGAGCACTCGAGCGCTGCCTGGAAAAACTCACTGTGAACTCGAAGAAATATTCCGCGCGAAAGCAGGAAAAATGACAACTCACTCACGTTGATACAGTCATGTACGTCTGTCGTCTGGTTTACAACAAATAAAACGAGTTCTTCCTCGTATCGATAATGGAGTCAGAGAGGACATGTCGAAACGAAAGTGTTGTAAATGTTGACGAGCGGCATGGGTCCCAATTCGTTTTGTGACCAAAATAGTTTCTTTGAGCTGCGATGCAATTTACTCACCTTGTGACGAAAACGACATCGACACGGACTCATTCCCAAGGCCATGACTTGGCAAAGCTATCCGTGTGACTTCGACGACATTGAGAAAAGCAGACGCTTGTGAACGCTGATAGAAGACGGCGTTGACTGCTAAATTCAAATAAATTGGCGATCTTGAAATACTAGAATAAATCTCAAAAAAGCTACAGCGCGATGACTTCCATATTCACTCACACCATTGCAGTGTTAACATGTTACATGTTGTGGGTGTGTTCACATGACGTGAGCCAGTCAAGTGTCAGTCAGTTCGGCAGGAAGCGCGAGCTCCAATAACAACAAGTCGTTTGGTACAGCCATCTTCTTTGTCTCGTACCAGCTTGATCACCAAAACAATGAAGAAAAAAATTTGACTTGAGGATAGGTTGGGATTTGAACTCACAACTTCATGATCAGCAGACAGCATTCATAACCACAAGGCCAAAAAGGAAAGGATAAATCGTGGGTTTTGATAAAAAATCGATACTGGCTTCCTGGGCAAATTGTAAACCATGGGAAAAGGCCGGAAACCTGGCCGAAATTCTAACTCCTTAACGGCTGATCCAATTGTTCCGAAACCTTCACAGAACAATTTGCCGTGTCCTAACAAGCCATTCTATGTACTTTGTTGTCCAAATTTCCCTTATCTTCATACTTTTGAAGACCCAAACCTGATTGTAAATCTTTTTGAAACAGACTATAGTACAGGGTCGATTTGTGCTGTACGCACAGCTGCAGAGTCGAACGTTTTTTTGGCGGGGAAAAGCTCTTTTTCACTTGTTTTTGTGCCATCCAGGGATTTTGAGAGAAATCCAGGGATTCTGCACGTCTTGTCAAGGGATTGAGATTGTGGTGGTTGGTCAGTATGTGGTATGAAAAAAGTATTCTTTCTAGACCAAAGAGTGGTATATTAATAAAGATAGAAATATTTACGATACTTCTCCAGACGTTTCGTTGTTCTGAACAACATCGTCAGTGGATAAAGAATACCTTTTTGATATTACAATGAGAGTGGATAATCAACGGCTTCTCCACCAACTCTTTGACTGTGATATGCTTGCTGGAATTTGTTTGCAGACATTCTACTGGTGTTTGACTGCAAATGAAGTTGTTGCTGTGTACATATGGAAGTCTATTGCAATGGACTCTGGTAGAGCATGACCCATTGTATTTGACAGTTGCTTCGTGAGTGAAATATAGTTTTTTTTCACTCAACAAGCTAAAAGCTTTCAATCACTGTTGATTGTTTCCCCTTTTCAGCGAGAATGAATTCCGCAACCTGGAGGATAACCTGCAGGAGCTGCGTGAACAGGTCAGCAGAGAAGCCTCTTTGTCAATATCTGGGTGAGTGGGCTGGTCAGTAAAAGAGAAGATTGGTGCGACATTGATAATTATTGCTATGATTGTTGTAATGTCATCATGAGAGCTACAGTAGTGTTTGGGGGTAGCGTGACACTCTATTTACCATTATTTGGTGATGCCATCTTCAGTAGGTCCGTCAAATAGTAGTGGTAGATTTTTCTTTTGACCAGACAACGCTTGAAGACACCAGCACGAACACTGCACCAGTCACACTCCATAGCAGCTAGAAATTGCTCCTGATAAGCCTTGTTTCATTCCATTATGATTTTGGGAACTCATCAGAGTGTACTCACATTGCACCAATATCTTCCATAAAACAATATCATTTAGTTCAACCCATTTCGTTGAACATCTACCTCTCCTCTGATGAGTTCCCAACATCATATTGGAACGAAACAAGGCTTGTCAGGAGCAACTTCTAGCTGTTGTGGAGTGTGACTGGTGCAGTGCTCGTGCTGGTGTCTGCAAGCGTCGTCTGGTCTCGTCTGGTCAAAAGAAAAATCTACCACTACTCTATTTACCGTTACTTGAGTGAAACTGTTGATATGATGGCTACGAGTTACAGTCCCCCAAATCCATATAACCATATTCTCACTTTTCAAGTGGTCTCTGGGCTGCAGTAACTAAAAGATGATATTCGAATTTGCCAGGCCTGGGCCTTCCTCACGAATGTGAACTTTTCTGATGAATCTTTTGATTATAGTTCGGATGGCAGTGTACCCACACATCAATTTTGAGGGCAGATGAAACTTGAAGGTTTTGTTTTGTGCATAGAACGTCGTACCAGCGTCAAGTGGAGTTATCCGGTCACGATAGCAACACCGAACAATCCGCAGACATCGGCAGTGCAGATAGAGGCAGTAGCATTGGACCACTGGTCGGCCATGAGTATCTGGTGAGTGTTTGTTCTAATTATGAACATTCTAGGGTTAAACACATTGCAGCTGTGAAGCACCGAGTCCATTAAGTCGAAAATCAAGCATCTAGGGATGTCACGGCTGCTAGAAATACACAATGTGTATCGCAAATGCTCGGTATCAGTCTGTTATCTATATACCATATGGTCGAAGTTAGAGCGGATGATCCGAGACTTTATTCATGCCAAGTTCCCGGGAAGGGTATGTGTGTGTGTGTGGGGGGGGGGGTGGGGGGGGGGTGGGGTGGGGTGGGGGGGGGGGGTGGAGGTAAAGGTGTGTGTGGGTGAATGAGGGGTGAGGGTCTGTGTGTGTGTGTGGGGGGGGGGGGGGGGGGGTGCTATTCAACTTTCCTTTGGTTGATCTGGTATCATTTTCTAACTATCTACTCTACCGACAATAGATATACAATGAAGGCCCTAGCCCTATTCCAAAGTCATCAATTAAACTCAACTGGCCATTGATGATTGACGCTGGTTCACAACTGCTCCATTTGATGGATATCCAGGTATGGCACTCAGCTCAACCGAAACTTTGATTTAAGGTTTGTTTCAACGTGAATGGACGGTGGAACATGTTCAGCCCTTGTTAGTCGTGAATGTGACTTGCGGGTACATTTTTGTACTGTCACTTGTGATTATCGCACAGTCGTGGGAAGCCAGGTTATGATAAGCCTGTGCTGTATTTCTCTGTGCTCTTCTTGTGTCAGAGCAACATGAAGTCCTTGGTGTGCAATCACAGTTCTCTGGTGGATCCTTTGTGGGAGACGGTGAGCGAATCCACAAGAGTTCTAAAACTGCAGACGAAATTGCACTGTGCTACCTACTGTGTCACTTAATCAACGCTTCATTATCGTTGCAGTATTTAGTCTTCACTGAACTGCTATCTTTGTAGTGACACATCAGCACAATGCTGGTTGCTTATGACAATGGCACCTTTGGTTCAAAAGCGAACTGTACACTGTGGTTTGGCAATTTGCTAGTGAAGGATTACTTGACCAGTTTCAGCAAACCAACTGTATCACAATCATGTTTGGCAAGATTGTATTTGTTCGAACTCTGGAAACGAACCTTGAACTTTGTGACTTTGATTGAATTCTCAGTTCTGGTGCCGGAGCCGAGCTCTTGGGAATTGAATGATGCTGACTCTAAGTGAGACTAAAGCAGTGTCAATTTTATTTGTATGATTGTGCAAATACAGGTCCTCCCTCGTTAGTAGATAATCCCTGGGCCATCGAAAAAGTTATCTTGTAACGAGACTTATCTTGTAACGGGACTTGCAGCTGAAGGTGCAATAGGTATTAATTCGTACTCAACGGGGCTACCCTCAATACAAGATAAATTATCGACGCTTCAACTCGTTATAAGATAATTTAAAAATTACAACATAGCTCTTCCTTGGATGCATAAGATCGTACATATCAACGAATACATAGATATAATATAATACGGTGTGCATTTGTGCTTTATCCTATGTGTTGTGGTCTTCGTCCTGCATAGTCATTATTATCTTATACTGAGGGTTTGGCACTCCAGGGACCTGGGCAAAGGGTCGTTATAACGAATTTTATGTACTAACGAATTATGTTGTAACCGGACCTGTAAACAGTTGTATAGACCACGTTTCGCCACGGGATTTCAGATTTCTATTTACTAACAGGGTTTATGTACTAACCGGACTCGTTATAACGAGGGAGGACCTGCACTTCAGAAAGTATATCCACTTATTGTGCTGAAGTGTTTTTGTTCCAGTAAAACAATTTCTTGAGCAAAGTAACTCCTTAGAATGTGAATAATAGTATGAAGCCACGAAGTTTTGTTTCAGGGGGAAGCAGTGAACAATATCGGACCAGAGAGATAAGTGCAGTTTATATGCATATCACCTCAATAGCACTCCTTTTATTTCATACTGTTTATTCCTTTCAGGCCGAGTCTGGGAATGGAGTCGGCAATGAATCATACAGCTTGAATGCCCTGCCAAGAAGTGACTCTCAGAATGAAGCGCCCAGAGAGGTATGGCTTTTCTTCAGAAGGTCAATGTGTCAAGGAAAGCACAGCTAGTTTCCTAGTTCATAATTTCCCTGCTACGAGTCCAGCTCTGCTGTCGGTTCGTGCTCGCAGCAGGATGACCATTTGCTGTTGGGTTTTTCCGGTTGACCCGATTATCTATGAAGCTGAAAGTGAATGCCTTTTTTTGCTTCACATGCTGGTGTACTTGCCTTTTGGCAACCTATCAGTCCATTGGCGTGTATGTTATTTCACTAGGGTGAGTGTGACTATGTGTGTGTGCATGCATGTGTGCACGTGCGTGCGCCCGCGTGTGTGTGTGTGTGTGTGTGTGTGTGTGTGTGTGTGTGCATGCATGTGTGTATATGCGTGCACGCACGCATGTGTGTGTACATGCAGGTCCAGAGAATCTGGAGTATGTCTTTTTCTGCACAATGGAATGAGATATAACCAAAACATGACAAAATGGTGCAGGTTTGAGACAGACATGGGCCCATCCTTTTCCCGAACATCATGTACTCTCCATCCGAACCCCCCCCCCCCCCCCCTGGAGACTATCCAGCACCATAAGGGATGCGGATTGTTGGCACTCTGCTGCAATTAAGTTGTGTATGTAAAGATGTATGACTGAGGATGTGTGTTTGATGTGTTTTGCCTGCAGTGCATCTCACGAGGTGGTCTGTGTCATGTCACTGTTCACTGCACCGTGCCAGCCATGGCGGGAAAGACAGCATCAATCATCCTGGCCTCTTGGCGCGTCAACACACAACTCTCAAAGCTAGTAAGGTGCAGGACATTGAGACATTGCCTCAATCAACACATGCATTCCGGCTAAATCTTAGCACCTTGCCCCATGTATTGAAGCGGGTAAGCTGTCTTGAAAGCATATTCCTCTTTGTTGGTGAACAAAAGACTCGCGGCTGTTCAATAACAATCCCTGACTTTGCCTCGTTAAGCAATGAAAGGGCGGCAGATCCATTCACAAAGGCTACAGTTGACTGACTGGCACTTGACATGTCAACTGCACTATGTTGCCCTGAATTACGGGATCGAAGTGATGACGTGTTTGGTAAACGGCAGCTGGAAACGATTAGGGTATTGCAAGTAATGTTGAGGATTACTGTGATAATGTAAATCTGATGTGCGAGTACGTGCATCCTGTTGTTTCTGCTACAGGAAAGGGAGAAGCTACCACTGACAATCAACACTACTGTCCAGCTGCTGACCGTGGAGAAGTCTGAAGGCTTCCAGCATATCCACACTGAAAAGCACTCTGCCTATGTAAGCAATCCAAGTCTGTATTTAAATTCCCAGGCAATGGAGTTGTATTGCTTGGTGCTCATTGCTGTGTTCTTGTGTTCTGTCCATTGCATGCCGCTGCCCTGGCTGTGCCGTTTGATGCTGAACAGGCGTCTACAACTATCTATGAAGTGTATGTAAAGCCACCGGGGCAGGTGAAGTGGTGGATCATACTGATCGCCGTGCTCATCGGCTTTCTACTCATCATTATCTGTATGTACATCATGTATAAGGTGAGGATCACTACAGACACTTGCACAGCTCAAGTAGAATACTGTATAAGAGTTGCGAAGGCACTCTCTGCATCGTTGCCAATCTTAGTGCTTGGACTGTACGGTCAAACTGAGGCATGCAGCTTTGTCTCATTGATGCACTTCCATCCCAAATGTCCCTGAACTTGTGATACGAGCTCACTTTATACAGGCTCAGGTTCTGTGTGTAATATTCACTTGCTCCACAGCCAGCACTGTTGTCCTCAGGAAAACACTTGGGAAATGGAATTGTGGCGACGATGCACTACTCTCTTCGTTGTGTGCCCTGCTAGACTTTGGAAAATTTCACTGAAAGCGTTGACTTCGTTCTTATAGAAGCGCGCATGAACGTGAAATTACTAGAACCTGTAGTAATTCGATTGGTCATAAATTGTCCCTGCCCCAAAGTCGACTGGACTGGGTGGCCGAGAGTGAAACCAACCTCCTTTCACATTCCTGTCGCCCATGTTGTCGAGTAGATACTGCGACTCCTTGCTGCACATTGTGACAAGTGACGAGTGCACTGGGGTGTAAAGAGATTGTGCCTTGTGCGTCACAGCAGAAGGGCTATGTTGGCTGCAGGTCAGCTTGTCACAGAGCATTATGCATGAACTGCTCTCTCACTTCCACGACTAAACACTAGACACTTGTCAGACATGTCTCCCTTTCCCTCTAGGCATGTTCAGGTTTCTCTGAGTGAGCGTAATCAAGCCTGTCCATTTAGTATTCTTTTTGTTACATGCTTCATTCTGTGTGTCTGCAGTGTGGCTTCTTTGAGAGGAAGAAACTCGACCGAAACGCCGAACAAAAGGTGGCAAGAGCATCCATTCGTTAGTAGGAACTTTGCTGAAAGGTGCAATCCGAATGTTTAACCATTTTTTGTGTTGGCGATGAACATTGTGCCCTTGGAGATAAACGCTGTTCCCTTGGCGATAAACACTGTTGCCTTGGCGATGGTCATTGTTGTCTTGGCGATGGAAAGCATTTGCTTCCTTTGCAAGATCCCATTATTCTGAAGAAGGCATCCCTGAAGACATATCAAAATCTTCCTTTCTGTTCACTTGAGCATGCAATGTTGCTTACAAATCAGATTTGCAAAATGCCTTCCACAGTAACAATTCTATCAGACATTTCTATATTTTATGAAGACGAATCAGCATGCGTAGCAGGGCCCATTCTGCCAAGCATCTCACTTTAGACTGCAGACTACACCGTCCAGTCAAAGTACATGTCATTCCAAGTCATGTGTGCCCTATGACATGACTGCTATACCACTCGATATTCAAGTTCTAAGAATCAAATGCGAAACATTACCGAGCATTTTGTCTGTACGTGGACCAAGCTGAGTAGATTCCCGAGGCTTTCTCTCGATGCAAGTCGGGCGGTGAACAGATACGTCAAACACGCACGCTAAGGTGAATCTCCATGGAAATGTACATCAGTGCGTCACTTATCATGCTCTTTTTAAGTGATCTCTTACCCATGCGTCATACTAGTTAGGATCCTTGCTAGAACGTGGTGGTCAAACGGGTACCACAATTATCAGCTATCGGGCAGGTCCCACCAGGATCGTGTTGGGTTTCGGGTTCCCAAAAGCTCATGCATTGCGCCGAAATATGCAAGTATGTAACGATGAAAGTCACGCCTTACACCACAATCACACTCACATCCAATGTTTGTAGCACACACACTGGCGTTCCTACGGATGCGGAAAACTGGTCCTCCAGCCGAGTCTCACGTGAACCGTGAATTGTTTAGTCAGCTGATGCCTGTACATAATACTGATGGTGTACAAGGCTGACTAGAACTAACTGACATGCATGTAGCCACTGACTAGTATCAGAAAAGGAGTCTGCGCATTCGTGTGTCACTTGGTGCAAGCAGCCTTACGCACGCCATGCATGCACTGGCTGGTCGTGTTTCTCATCTGAAGTAAGCGAATTCTTTCCTGCAAACTGTTGAAATGCGTGATTTTTTTCACTTCCAGGTGGGACCCGGTTGCTATTGGGTCTATCATCCTGTCCCCGGGGAAAATTGCGATTCCGCGGCCGCGTTTTTTCCCGCTTTTTTGCGATTTTTTAAAAGACAGCGTTTTCCCGCGTTTTTTGAACTTTTTTGTTGCACTACACGTACGCACAGTGCACTGTTCGGTCAGCAACGTCTCATCGTGGCGGCTTTTTACTCAAATATGACGAGTGCGTACACCAAAGACTTGTAACTGATTGATTTCACTACATACTCATTGAAAATTGCCGCACATCAATATTATTCACCGCATATTTACCGCAAATTCACCGCAAATTATGCCATATTATGCCGCGTTTTCCCTCGCGTTTTTTTGCGATTTTTTTCCGCAATTTTTCCCGGGGCCAGATCATCTAGGGAGCTAGGGTCTCGGGTGGGTACCCGGTTGACCACTACCAGAAAGCCTTGTGAGAAGTTAGATCTTAATGAGTGGTTCAACCCTACCGCCAGTGATTTTTTCAGAATTTCTAAAAATCCACGGCGACTAATTTCGTCTCTCATGCGCATGGACGTGGCCGATGGCTACGTCGATGGCTACGTCCGGAGAATTGAGGGTCAGTGGGATTGCAAGTGATGGCTATAGTTGGATTGATGTTCCCCACGCCCGGACCCCATTGACCCAATTAATCTCGGACAGTTTTCACATTAGAGCATGACTACCATGCTACAACGGTAGGAGCGTTACACTACACTCGAACAACTTCAACACAGGCAATCCAATACATCTGTGTTCTGCACACACACACACACATGCACTCACACACAAACACACACATACACACACACACACACACACACACATACACACACATACACACACTCACTCGCCCCCCCCCCCCCCCCCACACACACACATACACACACACACGTACACACACACACACACACACACACACGTGTACACACACATATACAACGTGTAAGCAGAGTATCTGGTGTGAATGTTCAATGTTGGCCACACACCTAGCAATGCACAGGAAAACTGTGGCACGCTACGAGGTCTACACGGTCATGTACATAAAACAAATGATGACCTAATCATTCTTTGCATACTCACTGCAAATTGTTGTAGTTGTTTTCTACATATGCTCTAAGTCAACATGCCAAAGAACCAATATAATATAACCGTTATTCTTCCCGGCAGTCTTCCTTTCTGCCATGAGGGCCACCGTTTGTGTGTCCGTATTGTATACGTTGGCAGCATTAGCTGGTTTCTCCATATGTTGGCAGCATTAGCTGGTTTCTCCACCAGCCAGATATCTACGCGCACATCATTGAGTGATGTTTGTCAGCTTGCCAGTAGGCATAGCGGAGCACAGAGGGTGAGGGTGAGTATAGCTAGAGAGGAAGTTAGATCTTAGTGAGTGGTTTGATACAGTTGATAAATCTGAGCAACATCGCCTCTGACAACTTCTTGTTCCAATGAGGACAGACTAGGATCAGAAAGTGTGGACAATGCAGTCTACCGGCATATTGAGCCAATGCAGTCAATGATCAGGATGGATTGAATCATGCCGTTTCTCCACACAGTGCACAATCTTGGAGGCTACGTTTGTGTTGATCTTGATCCTGTGCTGTCTAATACATCACCTGACAAAATCGCCGGTAGTCGTCCTTCAGTTGCTTGAGAACTACGGGGTCGTCTGCATGCATTTCCATGAGGTCTTCTATGTTTGGGCACAGGTTGCATCCGAGTTGGCTGCGAGACATATAGCGATGGAAGCAGAACTCGTGATTTTGATGGTGTTCACACATCTTTTCAGTGCGGCTCTGCCGGTTGTAGTCCGGATCGTGAAGCATCACCCCCAGTCGGTCCATCAACACGCGGCATTCCGACGCGGCTGTGCTCTGCATTGCACAATATATACGGGATAAAACAGTGTTATCAGGGTACAAGTAGGTGCTTCTCACACCAATGTCCCCAGTATAATTGTTTACAGTCGGTTTTCTCCCGACCTGTACATCATGGTTCATGACGATCACAGAGCTTGCTGCATCAAGGCACTGTCACAAGGTGAATGATTGTCTTCATTGCGCAATCAACACCTCCCAGATGCGCTCACATCCCCAGTCTCATCAGATCCTATGGACAATGACTAAAAGAACTTCAAAGATGCCCAGATATCCTAGAGGCCCGCAAGAGCCGGTCTGATTGGTCAGGTTATCACCGGACCAACCTTTCGACCACCAATACATGTTTCCCACTGTAGAGGTCATGTGACATGTGTACCCACCATGTCATACACAAACTGTATGAACGGCCATATTACTACCGGACCAATCGAAAACTGCTTCCGGCGGTCCTGTCCTAGATTTAGAGTATTTCGGCTGATCCATGACTCTTGCCATGAATACATACATGTAGTTCAGTATCTTATTCGAAGTACAGTTGGCCAGTATTCTTTGACTGAGCGTAACCATGGTAACGTATACGGCAGGCTAAAGCAGTTGCATAATTATCATGGAAGGAGCTTGCTCGTTTCGTCTATTTCCGTAAACCATTTCGGTTCTGTAGAGTCCTATTCATAGTATTCAGTGAAGAACCATGCCCCTGAACTCACCGTACAGTTGCAGGGATCGCTGCTTCCTCCACTGGGCGTGCCGGCTTGGCGTTTCGCTATGTCATGCTCTTCGGCGTCCATTTCCGCTTGCAGTTCTTGGCGAAGCAGTACCAGCTTCTTTGTCAATCCGGAACGAATCTTCAGCAGATTCTTCCTCTCTTTGTATGTCTTTGCTTTACTGAGTGGAAACTTCTTCAGCATCGTTAGTAGAAACTTCTCCGTGCTGTCAGGTACACCCGCATCACGTCGCTTTCTTGCTGTAATGAATATAATAAGCGTCAATGAATATTGACTACTTGAGGGAATGGAAAAGGGAAAAGTCTGAAGAAAAACTGACTGTCACCACATTCGATCATACATGTAAATCTAGCCAATCTCAAAGACATCGCTCACATCTGCAAGCAGACTCGAGGTATAGTGATTTTTCCGACATATGCCTCGAGATATACCTCTTTATATATCTTGAGAATGCAACTCCATAATTGCAAACATTGCATCACAAATCGAGGGCAAAGACACCGCTCACATCTGCAAGCAGACTCGAGGCATACTGAATTTGCTGACATGTATTCTTAGGTCCTCTCAGGAGACTTTGCAGGGCAACTCGGGCGGACGATCTCAAAGACACCCACAGACTGCAAACAGACTAGGAGCACATTGAATTTGTTTTATCTACTAGTATGGTGGTAGGTTCACCCTCAGTGTCGGTTTTTTAGAAACACTTTTATAAGGTAAACTTTTCTAAGCACTCGCAGACTCCATTGCAGCCACTCACACATCACAGGGTACCTCACTTCAAACTCTCCAACTACGTTCGGTCTCTTCGCTGCATAAGTTCACTTCACTTCCAAAAAAAATAAAAATAATATTACCGTACTGGCAATATGGTGAGGCCATGAAGCGTTACATTGGCACATGTTTACCGCACGCAGGGCGTTACATGCAAAGTCGCACAGGAGCCGTTACACAGGTTTCTATATTGCCGCAGTCCTTTTTTTGCTATTGCAGGACTTCCTGCTGCGTCCAGTTTTGAACTTTTCACCACGCGGTACACGTGCTTTCACAGTTTTCAGCCTTTTTTGCAATGAAAAGATCGCCGCACCCCGCCGGACGCGCGTTACTGGTTACGAACGCAACGAAAATTTGTCGCACTAGCCTGGTCGCGCGTTACGCCGCACCCCCCTGCGTTACGCGTTACGCGGCAACATATATTGCCAGTACGGTAGATACAAATGGAATGCACCAAATTTTCGGGCATGGCCCATCTTCAGGGTGAAAAACCATTCAACTAAAGCCAACAAAAACTGAAACGAGTATTATACTGTGTGGTGCGGGAGTGATGGAAATGTTTGTATGTGTGGAGGGTAGCAGCAATGGTGAAGTGTGTTGGTAGAAAGGGAAGGAGCGAAGTGTGAATATGTGTTAGTGCGACGTGAAGGGAAAGCACGAGAAGTGTGGTTACCAGCAGCAATGGTGAAGTGTGTTGGTAGAATGGGAAGGAGCGAAGGAGACAAGTGGAGAGCTGTGTCTGTAAGTGTGAATATGTGTTAGTGCGACATGGTACAGTAGGTACAGTAACACCTGGTGTAAGCGACCTCTCGTTTTAGCGACCACCTGCTCTCAACGACCGTTTTTCCATGCACGAACAGTTCTACACAGACACCGTGAGACCTGGTTCTAAAGACCACCTGTCTTTAACGACCGCTTTTCCTGGCACCGTGGGGTGGTCGCTTAAACCAGGTTTTACTGTACACTTGCTAGTGTCTAGTGGCCCTCTGTCCTGTTTTCCAGCTTTCCAAAAATGCTCGCCAAGTCTTCAATGGAATTCGTAGTCGATGGCGTGGCGAAAGGCCTACAAACCAGGCACAAGCTAGGGATTAGGGAAAGTATGGCAAAGTCGTCGTGGAGATCACGAGGGAGCTGAGGAGTGTGGTTGAAGCGCTTCTACGCGTTTCGCCGTCAATAAGGCGAGCGCTTCAATCTGAGAGAGTCGAGCGCATCGCAACTAACTTTCACCCCACGAAGTTGAAGAATGGCGAGGATCCTACCAAGAACGCCTGTGAAATTATACGTGAATGGGAGCTCAACAATCCGCCCTGAAATCTTCAAGCTCCGAGCGTTGGACGAGTACTACGTCTTCCCGGGAGCTGCATTTTTTTAATTTTTTTATTTTTTACTAGAGCCACGTAAACCCGTCATGTGTGAGCCATGAATAAGGGGAGTGGTGGCGTGGTCTGGAATGCTCTGCCGACCTTGGGTCTCGGCTTCATCACAACCAGGCGCGCCATGGAGGAGGGAAAACAGAACGTATAAATGAACGCTTGGTGTCATACCATGCAACCGTGTGGGTGAAGCCAGTAGTGGCAGTACAAGGCAGCGAGTGTGTAAGGTAAATGAGCTGAACACCCTGGTCGTCCCAAGCGATACGTTGGATGAGCTACTGAGGGTGTTCCAGGATAGGTGGACCACCGCCTCATCCGCCTCCACCGAGGAAGAGGAGGACATTTCCGACAAGCACGTGATAGAAGCACGTCAACATGTCAAAATAAAGTAATGTCGAAATATCCTGTCACATTTCTGACATGGCCACGTCAAAAAGTGACAAGGTCACATCAACCCGTGGAAAGGTCACTTCCGGGTTCAACTTTGTGCTAGAACCCCCCCCCCCCCCTCGAACCTACTACTCACCACCTGGACTCAAACCGGGGACCTTCGCTTGAGGCCAGCGATGTTCTAACCACATGGTGTAGCTGTCATCCCAGCAGAGACTGTTCCACATCCTCCTCAGACTTCGACACGCACGCTTCCTGAGCAACTAACTACACAGGCTGGTGAGACACAGCCCTCACTGTACCCACACAGTCACTGAATATGAAACCACTAGCAAATGTGAGAACGGTGAACACACCAGTCATTAACTTCGACATAAGCATCATGCAGAAGCCAAACGCCTATCTCTTAGTCCGGCGAATCCTACATGTGGCCTAGTATTGAAGGCATAATTTTCACTTCAAAACATCAAGACTTTGTCATAAACATATTTTTTCTCTTCTTTTCAGTCTCATGGTGTTGCTGTGGATAATGGCATGGCTGCCGATATCTTGTGAAATGCTAGAAATGCCACCTGGTGAACTTTCAGTCCAATTTTGGAAGTGAAGTTTTCTCAAAATTTAATTTGTGATCCTACATGTAGGATTTGGTATATCGTTATTGTTTTCTGGAATTTCTGTGACCATGGATGATCAAGAGAATGAAGGTGGTGGCAATGACATAAAATGTACATGTAGTTGTTATTGGTGATCAGAACCACAGAGTAGACACTATTGCTCAAGTTCCAAATGGAGCATTGGGTAAGAGGATCTGTAATGCCCCCCCCCTCTCCGGCAATCTTCGGGACACCAGGAGTGAAAGTGGACGTAACTGATGTGGATTTTGTCTCCCCAATAAAACCCTTCTCCTTGTTCATCAATAGGAAGAAGATACGACATACATGTAGCTGCTCTTGTTGATGTCGGCGAAAGTGCCCGGCGGTTGGTTATATTATTGACCAATCTGAAGATGTATGGATGGCTTGGCATTATGTGTTTCTATTGAGTTATACCCATCACCAAGACTATCATGGTTGTGGACTCGGGAGTGATCAGTTCCCATTTTTTTGATGCCGGATATCCCACCCCACCCGGAGAGGCAACGTCGGCCTCCGCCTTGACTAGAATAGATGTCTTCCAAGTTAAATGTTGCTTCATTTCGTTTTTCCTGGTTGGCACATATCCATGCTTTCCATATTTGTGCATGCCCTGCTGCCAAATCGATTTGCTCACACATACCAAGTTCAATTTTAACGAACGAAAGTCAATCCTACATGTAGGATTAGGTGTGCCGGATTAAGATGAATAGTAGGGCTGTGTTCATGCGAATGCAGCCAACACAAACACGTCGAACACTCACATCAGCCCCCCCCCCCCTCCCCCACCCCACCACCGAGACTGAGACTAGAATGACTTAAAGGGGAAGTTAAGGCAAAAATTAAAATTTCACCAGTTGTAGTCTTCGGGGTGCTGAGTCGAATGGTCTTGGTCCGAGAAAGCTGAGACGCTCCCTTCCTACTTGAATCCCAATCGAATTCGCGCACTTCCACCGAAACTGGGTGACTGCGCCCTACTAGATGGGGATTTGTATGCAAAATGTCACTAAAAGCGCCGTTTCGTTCTTATAAAAGCACGGATGACCGCGATTGGCCCATATGTTGTAGTCTTTTGGACGCTGAGTCGACTGGTTTTGGTCCGAAAAGGCTGCGATGCAGCGTTCCTCCTTTATTCCCAATCGAACATGGTTGAACAAGCGGTCACGTGCTCCTGCGTACACCAGTCAGCTGGTCACCGTGCCTGCAGGGTACAACTTACTAGCCTGTTTGACCTTTTTTGGGTGCAGTCCTGTCACTCGAGTTGAACTCGAGTTGAACCTTGGTGTGAAAGTTCTCGCCTGCTGGCGTGGTGACCAGGTGATTTGGGCACCCAAGAGCACGTGACCGCTTGTTCAGCCATGTTCGATTGGGAATAAAGGAGGAACACTGCATCGCAGCCTTTTCGGACCAAAACCAGTCGACTCAGCGTCCAAAAGACTACAACATATGGGCCAATCGCGGTCATCCGTGCTTTTATAAGAACAAAACGGCGCTTTTAGTGACATTTTGCATACAAATCCCCATCTAGTAGGGCGCAGTCACCCAGTTTCGGTGGAAGTGCGCGAGTTCGATTGGGATTCAAGTAGGAAGGGAGCGTCTCAGCTTTCTCGGACCAAGACCATTCGACGCAGCATCCCGAAGACTACAACTGGTGAAATTTTAATTTTTGCCTTAACTTCCCCTTTAAGACTGCCATGAGGGAATTCTATTGGGGTGCTAGACGATAGGGCTTGAACGTTTCCTCCTGTGAAATTTTTGCCTTTGGTGTCAGACTATCCAAAAATTCGCTGAAAAATCGAATTTGTAAATTCATATTGACTGCTACGTCAGTTGAAAGAGCGTGAATAGCTGCAAATTCTCTGAAAATTGTGTCCCGATCTGACCGGCCGTTCAAGAGTTATGGCCGAAAATGTGCCCTTGCAAGGAAAGATTTTTTTGTTGCACGCTGTCATTTGTTGGCAGCACTGTATTTGAATGTGAGCAGACCGTGCGCAACTTGTCGTATCATGGAAACACGTGAAAGTGTGCAGAATTTTGCTCCAAGTCCAAAAAATCAGGTTTTTGAGCCACGTATTGGGCTGCACGGCGGCGGGCAAAGCCCGCCGCCGTGCAGCAGGACTATTGCCAGCACCCTCGTGACGTTGCAGATATGTGGCTTGATTATTGTAGTTGACGTTGATTTAGTGACTTTGGCAAGTTTGACTTTGAGTCGTGTCAAGAAGTCAGGTAGGATTCAGTACTAGGCAGTCGTGAAACGTGAGTGGAAGTCTTTGCCGGTTTCTGAGGGTATCCTGGATTTGGTGTGCAGCGCTGTGGAAATGGCTTGCTGTGGAGGTCCCAGCACTGGATGTTGTATCAAAGGTACGACCTCGTAGCACACCCTAAACCTAAAAAAATTCAAAAATTGACTTGGGTCTGTGGGAGTGTGTGAGAGAACGCCCACTCGTTCCGTTGTGACAGATTCCAGGGCCTCGTTGAGGGGCCTTACCCCATCACCCATGGCTGCTTCTGGACTTGTACTAGGTTTGAGTCCCGCGCACGAACAGAATGAGCACGAAAATGTGAAAAAATTGTAAATGCATTTGTTTGGCTCCTGGGTGGCTCGCACACCGTGGCACTATGCCGGAAATTTGAGTTTTTCCGGCCTGGAAAGCCTGTCAGTGAGGCGCAAGAACTTGTAAATCATGTCCTGAGGGCCAGCATAGTGGCAGGAGTGTGTGGTCAAAATTTCACTCAAATCCATTGAGAAACACCAAAGGTACGGTCAATTGAATGCCATATGAAATTTATGGGTAGGCTGCCCCCTTAAAGGGGATTCACATGACAGGCAAAACCACGTCAAGGAACATTTTGCCCGCGGATGCACTCATCTGCCGCCCAATCACAGATAAATTTTGCAGACGCTCCTGCTGATTACTAGTACTTACTTGTGCAAAAATCCTGCACAATTACGCCCGAGCAGCCAGCACCACGATTGTTGCCATCCGTAGTAAAGGTCATTTTCAACACTGTGCCTTGGGTATACGTGTAGAAGCGGTCCGGAGTGCTATCTCCTAAACCGCTGCACAGTTGCTTGTTGCTTATGGGAAAGGGGTATTCAGCATCATATATAGTAATCTCATCATCGCAACTGTTGCCTCCAGTTGCCAAAGGGCATTGCATCAGCTCCACTGCTGCCTTGCACCCTGATGCAGCTCTGAATTCCAGCTCGCACTTCATGTTGTTATAGTAGCCATTTGCGTCATTGGCGAATTTGAAGAACGAAACCAATTGGTTGGTGAATTCCGCATACCCATGCTCTTCACCGCTGTTCTCATCTTCACATTTATTTTCCCCGTGAACAATTGTCCTGGAGCAATAGAAACAGAGAACACCACGAGCCTGTAAACATGGTGAAGATATGAAGGGAATCTGTACGTTAAAAGGAAATGCCCCTTTACTCTATAAGTACATGTGCATGCGCGTGCGTTAATGGAACCTGCGTTTTCGGTGTGTGTGTGTGTGTGTGTGTGTGTGTCCCATATGGTGCAGTGGTATGTGCAGCGATTTCTAATCGATAGGTTGCGGGTTCGATTCCCGACGATTATGGTCACACACGTCTTTCTTCTCTTTCTCAGACTCTTCCTGACTTTTCTTTCATTCTCCTGGGTGGTTACCAAAAGCCAGTGCATGCCGGAGTATGTGGTGTGATGTTTGTGTGGGAAAAAATACAAAAGACCAAAAAGTAGGGATTCACTGGCCAGAAAAAGCCACTTCATAGCTGTGTGGTGTAGACCAGGCTGAATAGTGGCGGCCAATTCTTCAGCCTTGCAAGCTGTTGAATGGTGCAATCCCAGCACAAGTTGCTATGGCTTCTGCTGCAGCATCGCTATCATCGCATCTGGCGATGGGCGTCCAATGGTCCAATGGTGTGTGTGTGTGTATGTGTGTGTGTGTGTGTTCTCTACTAAAATGCCATTCGGATGCCTTTCATGTAGCGGTAATTGTATGAGCAAGTAAAGCCTAGTTCACATTCGACGGGGCGCGGCGGGACGCGACGTAAGGATCGACGGGAAGCGACGGGACGGTCTGACGGCGTCCAATGTGAACACCAGGAACGGGAACGCAACCGTGCTACCGTACAGATCGGGAAGCGACGGGAAGAGTTGGATCGATCCAACTTTTCATACCGTAGACGGGCGTAGACGGGGGCGCAAGCGTACAAAACGGCTGTAATTCGAGTGTGAACAGGAGACGGCGTCGTGCGCCGACTACTCCCGATTCGTACTTGGATATTTTTATCATTTCGATCACTGCGCTTCCCATGATAACTCACAGAATGGCTAGCACGACTTGAGTTGAATTTTAGCAACATAAGATCTCATGTCACTTATTGTATTTAGGGATAGTTCAGAAGCGTGACAGATGAACTACTCTATCATTTCCTGGGGCTATTATTTGAATGCCACAACTTTTAGGGCTAATTTTTTTATCTCCATGAAAAACTGGCATTGTGAACTTGATTCCGCTTCTTTCAAGGAGAAATAATTGAAAAGAAGTCCCAAAAACGAGAAATTAGGTCCGAAAGTCACCCCGTCACGGACTATGCCTTATGACTCGCGCTGTTCGACGTTGAACGTCGCAACGACTGCTGCATGTCGTGTCGTACGAATCGTACAGGATTTTAGGGCGCGCTCACACTGCGACCAAAACCAGCGTCCATGCGGCCATGCGGCCAAGTTGCATGGCAACGGCATGAACTTGACCAAAACGTCGCGGCCACGTTTCAAATCGTGACTGCGACCTCCGGAGGGGGGTGCCACGACTTGGCGGCAACATGATCATAGACGCGAAGCGTATTTGTGTACAACCTGGCCTGAAGTGTGTTTAATTTCTCAAATTCCGGTGTGTTGATTCATGAAACTCGGCGGTTGTCGATGTCATCCTCGACATTTGCACATTTTTACAATGTTGTAGTTGTGGTCCTGCACGCACGCACCGCCATATATGCAATCTTTGCCCTTTTTGGACGATGTCAATTTTGTTTTTGTAGCTACTTCGTTGTCAGTTTATCGGGTCAGTGACCATTTTCTACAGTGTACTCGTTCAATATGATGGTAGCTTTGGTCTGGCTTTTCGGTTTGGGAAATCATCTTTCTCTACTTTTCTGCGATGATGGAATGCCATACCTCAAGATAATTTCAGTTACACATCATCGGAAAATACAGTTCTCATCTCGCCAACAGACAAAAGAAACCACTACCGGAATTTCCACTGCACTGGCACTTGCTCTGACCACGAGGTCAGGAAAGCGAAAGCGCTTGGATGTCAGCGGCAGCCCCTCAAGAGTCCAAACCTACATGATTGTATGAATTATTTTCGTCGACTTCAAGAATAGGGAGGTTCTGCTCTACGTGTTGGGAACGCGACGCAAAGAAGCACGCGAACTTTCTTCGCGTTCCCGTAACGTAAAGAAATGCTGTTCTGCTCTACGTTTCACCTAGAGAAGTCACGTGGAATGTGTACTGGGAATTTCCCCTTCCATGATATTTGGCGGTTTTCTGCATGCAGTTGATCGATACCCAGCAAATCCGTACGCATTTTCTCTGCGTGTGCCACAACGTAGAGAACCCCATCTCCGCGTAGAAATCTGGAGCCAAAACACGCGAAGCCGTAGACTCTAACCCAGACACCTGCTCTCTCTACGTGATTTCTCTATGTTTCACGTATAGCAGAACCTCCCTAATACCATGAATACGAGCCACTTCCTCCAACATGCAACAAGCGAAAAAATACATTCAAAAACGGGCCACAACTTTATTAGGAAACGCACGAACTCTTTTGGATACGAACTACAATTCGTAAAGTTTGTGTTACAACTTCACGTCTACGCGTGTACGAGCTTCGAGGCCTAGTGTGAGCACGACTGCCACGTTTCTGCGTTTTGCTGACGCATGGACGCGTGCTCATGGTCGCAGTGTGAGCGCGACCTAACAGCTCACCCCATGCAGCCCATATATATATATATAGGCCCAGCTCTTCCGACAAGCCCTTACGTCCCGTACCGTCGGCGTTGCGCACGGGAAATACGGGAAGCACGGGAAGTACGGGAAGTTTTTTAGAGTAGCGTACGCGTACATACGTGTTCAGTCCCATTGTATAATTAAAAATCCCATAATCCTTCTTGATGAATGCATGATGAAAAAACAGAAAAATAATAAGGCACCCATTTTTATAGTCCAGGGGATGGCCCACGCCTGGTAAAAAGAATAAACAGAGAAAAGAAAAAAGACAGTTCAATTGCACACTCATCACAAAAGAAGAAGATGAGTCGTCTATGAGGAAAGCCGAGCCTCAACCACCTCCAGACCAATATTGTCTGGGTTGAGATGGATGCGTGCCCTAGAACGTCTTGAACCGCGCAGGCACAGGATAGAGGCTCTGACGAGAGAGATGCTGATCTTCGACCTCAGCCAGGCCATCACTTAGTAGTATAGTATTTATTCATATTTCTCTAGGGCAGTCCCCACAGACCTATGGTCTCCTTACGGGGTACCCTAGCCAATCAAGGATTGCGATACGAAATTGACTTGGTAATCACTTGTGAGTAGGGCTGAAACGATCATTCAGTAACTCCTAACGATCAACCAATATCATTAACGATCGATATATTGGTTTTATCGATTCTTGTTGGCCCTACTCATGTACCTCGAACACCAGATAATGAAGAAATTCCACAATGCCTTTGCTACGCTAGAAACTTGCCGCATCGCACTGTTGACATCTGGCTGGTTTTATCAACATGAACTAGAGTATTTCATCTTGTTTCCAGAGTGAAGAATCTTGTCATCACCCTCTGGCAACTTCTTTCATGTCCGACCTCTCCCACAAATGAACCGAAAAGACAAAGCCTTCTCTCCTGATCTCTTTTAAAGCCACAAATCAATTTTGCTGCGCTTGAAAGTACATGATTGCACCCGTGTTCACTACCGGATGGAGTGCAAGGGCTAGAATACTGTTGCTGGTATGCATGCGTAAGAAGTCATTAGCACTCGTTTCGAACACTAACGATTATCGATTGCACCCTTAGCGATCGATATGCGAGTTATCAGTATAATTGTTTCAGCCCTACTTGTGAGTAAGGCTGCAACTTCTTCTCCGCCATGAGACTTGCGATCCTCTTCACCAAAGCATTACTGAGCACTTCGACCTGCTCCACCAGATGTGGCGTAGACGACAGGGATGAAGGAGGCATGTTGCACCTCTCGCACACGTGCTTCGTATAAGCGGCGCTTCTCCTGCTCGTGTTTGCGGTAGACAGAGGCAATGGACGACGATGAATTGGAGCGAGCATAGGGGTTGAAAACCCTTACATCCAAAAATGAATGCTCAAAACGACCGCCGTACACGCCATTTTCCACCACATCCAATCGAGCTTGGTCGCCTCTCACCGCGGTGCGTGGCTGAAGGTGCTATCCACTAAGGGGCTCTAGATGTGGCTCGATCTCCACTGCATGAGCGACTTTCACCAAACACTCTGCAAACACATCCCTGATCTCGTTGTGCCGAATGCTGGGAAAGCCGCCGTTGGGGCAAGACAGAGCATGGGTGACTGTGAACTGTGGTTTCACCCTCACTTCCTTGTACTATATATTGGCTATTTTCATTATGTGCCATGAAGTGCAGACTGTAAATAAATAAATAAATAACTGCTGCCCGCACACACACTTGGTGGGGAGATTGTTGGGCTGCCAGCCATAGCGCAGACAGAGGGCATCCCGGAACTCGGCCTTGGAGAGCGCAAAGCCAAACCGTGCCAGAGGGCGGCAGGTTAGCCAGTTGGATGCGCCCTTCTCCGCCGCAAGCTCCATGCACCGCTGGAGGTCGGGAGAGACGCTGTTGAAGACATCCTTTCGGTGCTGCTCTTCTTGTTGTCTATGAGCCTCCCGGAAGTACGGGAAGTACGGGAAGTACAGGAAATACGGGATTTTTTGTTTTGTTTTGTTATCGACCTGTATAGCCTCTTGTACGGGCAAGAACAAAGTAATACAGCTAGCGTGTGTTGAAGAAGAAAATGAGCGGAAACGTACTATGCTGTGAAACACGCATGAGGCATGATCAGGGCAAATGACAGCTGAAAAGAAAAGGAAAGAACACAAACACACACACACACACACACACACACACAACAACAACAACAAGTGCCATACGCATGAATGTTAACGGCCAACGCCAAGGCCGACACCATCGCAAATTGCCAGCCCACCGAGACGACGACGTGGACCACGGAGACGAAGGTCGACAGCCCGGAAAACAGCAAACTGATGGTGGATCCGCACCCAGGACATGACGTTGCTGTAGGACTTGTCCCACCGGGAGGCAAGGCGCATAGCAAGTCGCCGTTGATACGCACGGTACTCTGTGTGCAGTGCACCATCAGTTGAGCAGACCAGCGGGGTGAAGGATGCTCGCAGCTCCTCTGCGGCCGCCTTGTACTTTCTCTTCTTGGAAGAGGCAGCACTGTTGGATACGGCGTTCCAAGAGAGGTTCGAGGGGACGTAGCTGGGTGCGTCAGCATCCACGATGCGGTTGTCAAAGTACGCCACCCTGTCTCCTTCCCAAACTCCCCGGACCAGCCAATCCGCCTGCAGTGTGGGACGGTTGTTGCCATCCTGCACAGGTACCATCACCGGCTCGACAGCCACACCTCCCCATGCAACGTCTGCCAGCCGGGCATCGAAGTCGCGGACATCGTTGTGCCCGCGCTTGATGAGCCCACCCTTCATGCAATCCCGACCATGCTGTAGGGAGAAAGCAGCTCCACAGCCATCGCAATGCGACGGGAGAGCGTTCGGCTCCTGGCCATAGCGAATGACCAACTGATCGCGGAACTGGACCGCCGACATGTCATAACCTTCCTGCTTGAGAGGAAGCACGGTCAACCAGCCGGAAGCGTTGCCATCAACGATGCGGTTGAGGGTCCGCTGTTGGCGATGCGGAAGCGCAGCTCGGAGGACTTTACTGCGTTCCGTCATCTGCAGGTCTCGAGCACGGCTGACCTCGCTGGTGACTTGACGGCACTCGCTGATGTGGTGAGCCATGTCGACCGGTGCACCAGTGCAAATGGTAGCCTGCAGAATCTCAGTGGCGCGCTTCGAAGTGGCATGAGCATCAGGGGCTGACGTAACGGGATTGGCCAGGCCGAGACCTCCCACTTTGGCTGGAAGGGCCAACAGATCTTGCTCAACGTCAAGCACCTCACGACCCAGCAAGCTGGGGGCGAATACGTGCCGGATAGTGTCCCACAGGGGAGTATACTCGAATACGGGAAATACGGGAAGTACGGGAGGTGCGGGAAGTACCGGAAGTATGGGAAGTACGGGAAGTATGGCCGGTAACTGTATGTGCTGCAGGAACGAGGAAGGAACGAGGAAGGAACGAGGAAGCGATCACTGGACCAATTTGGCTAGAATGAGAGTCCGATGGCCTCGATATGCCACATCCACGCAATTTGCGATTATTCGATTTTGGTAGGAATCATGCGAAAAATTATGCTAGCATAATCCGTCAAGGCCTAAATTTGAGACAGAAACTGACATGACAAAACCAATACTGTATCAGCAGAAATATTCGTCTGGAGTTTAATTTCGTCACGTTTTCTTCCAAGGAGCGTTTGGACTAAATTAAATGCCGGATTAAAGTTGATTTGCCCAACTTTTAAATACATTCTAAATAGTGTCTTATGGTCTATGGACTAAATTTTCAACCAGACGAACTCCCTTTCTTTGGAGTTGGACGAAATTATTGACCGACTAAATTTACTGCCTCTACAGTAACTGGATTGCTTGTTCATACTCCACCTGACCGGGCGCTAGTCCGCTACTACGACTCGTGTTAGTAGTACAACATACGAACATTACAAGCGATCCCATAATGTCTTTCGGAATAAGTAGTCCGCTACAATATGAATAATTATGTGCCTGGGCTCGGACATGTACTTGTACTGTGAATAGCAACTGAATAGAGCGGTTGTCAGTTGACAAACCCCCTTTTCTGTATTAAAGCAGTTGCGTGATGTCCACAACTTTCTTAGTTTATGCATGTACTTGACTTGGTAATAGACGGCTGGCATGGTATAATAGCCTTTCACATACATGTACATGTACTTACAATGCCTCTTTACCTCGAATGGTTCTTCACTTTCGGTATCACACTTTGTGGAGTAAAGGGAAACGGAACGCCAAAATTAACTATGACTTTCCGAAGGAGAACTGGGCACTGATTCCGACGAGCTATGTCTCGAGGCGATCGGGGAAGAGGAACCGTGTCAAATTCAATAAATAACACTCCATATTTGGGCATTGAGCTTGATTATATTGTATTTTATTATAGAAAAGAAAAAGGACCAAGGAACTACGAAGTACAAGTTACATGTACGCTATAAATGTCCACTAACACCACAAGTCACTAAAGAATCAGCTCATGCGATAACATTGCACGCGCATCCAAGATGTGCTAGAAGTGTTAGACAGTTAGTTGTAGAACGTCAGTACCGTCGGTCAGTGTCGTGAAATGTTATCGCATGAGCTGATTGTTTAGTAACTGGTGGTGTTAGTGGACAGTATAGTGTAGCGTGTAGTTCCTTGGTCTTTTTTCTTTTCTACTAATACTATACTATTGTTAGTTTGACAGCATGAAACAAGGTGGAGGACACTGTGTTCGGAAACAGTGACCTTACTACAACCTTCCGCGGTTGGCAGAGCCCCAGTCCCTGCGGACCATCTGAACCATATGGGTGTCGGAAGGTTGTAGTAAGGTCACTGTTTCCGAACACAGTGTCCTCCACCTTGTTTCATGCTGTCAATCTAACAATATGCGTGAACTATAACAAGGTTTATCTAATACTAGTTCAGAACTAGTATTGGGTTATATAATATGACTATACTGAGTCTGCACCAGGACCTGCAGCGTATCGGGGGATCACTCAAGAAACGCGAGGAACTTGAGAACCTCCATGCCAAGACTGGAAAGACCTATGCAGCAATGTGATAAAAGCATACATCAAAGCCTAATACTGCTTCCACCTGTGGCAGCTGCATGGCTGTACGGTGTACCATAACATAACTCATTGACTAACATATTTCGTGAAAATATGATCCTGTAAAAGAATAGGAATGTAAACAACATACCTGTGAAAACACAACCTTTAATGCTACTAACACAACCTGTGACTACAATAATCATGAGATCAACCCCAAAATAGTTCTTGCAGTTTACTTTCATAGAGTTTGCGACTTTGTGTTCCTCAACACAACTTGCAGCTCTCTTCAAAAATATCCTCAACCTTGGTTCTGTCCTAGATCTTATGTACATGCATTCATTGTTTCGTCTCATCATGGAGCAGCTTATGCGAAGGCTAGCCAAGCTTGCTTGTCGATGCCAACGCGGAAAAGCCTATAATAATAGTAATAATAATACTTCACTAGTTTGAGGGAAAGAGACAAACGGGAAAAGTCTGAGGAAAAAATTGACTGTCCCCACCAATAATAATACTACTAGTACTAGTACTAATTCTTGTCTTTGTAGTTAGGGACAGCTCTTCTGACAGCGGCGGTTTTACAGCACTTCCCACCTTTCTCTAGCACGCCGCTCAAAATCACAAAGACTCTTTGCCTGGTGCTGGATCTGCGCCGTACACATACGCGTACACAAGGGAGGTTCTGCTCTACGTTTTGGGAACGCGACGCAAAGAATCACGCGAACTTTCTTCGCGTTCCCGTAACGTAAAGAAATGCTGTTCTGCTCTACGTTTCACCTAGAGAAGTCACGTGGAATGTGTACTGGGAATTTCCCCTTCCATATTTGGCAGTTTTCTGCATGCAGTTGATCGATACCCAGCAAATCCGTACGCATTTTCTCTGCGTGTGCCACAACGTAGAGAACCCCATCTCCGCGTAGAAATCTGGAGCCAAAACACGCGAAGCCGTAGACTCTAACCTAGACACCTGCTCTCTACGTGATTTCTCTACGTTTCACGTATAGCAGAACCTCCCTACTGTTTGCAGTTACCATTGTTTTACCATGCTCTTATTACTAGAAAGCGAAATTTCGAGTAACACGGATGTGGGAGCTTTACTTACCAGTAGCTACAAAGACAACTAATTGCACAGTAAGCATTTCATATACATGTATGTCGACATGTATGTGTAAAATGTTGTACGATTATCGCAAGGCACACAACGAAAGGGAAAGCGAGGATTTGTTCAGAACATTTTGCACATACATGTCGACATAATTATGAAATGCTTACTGTGCAATTAGTTTTCTTTGTTGCGTCTTTTTCCTTTTCTTTTGACTTCTTACTCTTTCCCTTGCTAGCCGTGGTTGGTTATAAAACCCTGCAATCGCCACGCAAAGCGGTCATTGGCTACCCCGGCCATGTATGGCTTGGAATAAAACTAAAACTTAACCATAATGCAGATGGCCATTCGAATAACCCCTATTGACATGGAAACTTCGTTATCCTGAATTCAAGTTGAAGCAACGAAGGAACACGTGTACAAATTACATTGTATATTGCGATAAATGCCCACGACCGCTCCGAAGTTCTGGAAAAAACCTGTCTATTTCGGAGTATTTCCTCCTGTATGCCCTGGTGACCACCCCTCGCCCTTAATAATGTCGAGAACGCATACACCGCGAAACACCCCAGAACAATGTCTGCCAATGTGCTCACTAACTTACCCGGTGACGTTCGTCACTGCCACCATCAGCAAGCAGGCGGCCACGGTGACCAGTAGCGTGATTGGTACAGAAGTACCCGCTGGGACCTTTGCTCCACCCGCCATGACTGTCTTCTTGGTTAGGAGAGGTGATCCGGTGAAGGTCTTTGCAGCCTGCTCCTCCGCCGAGCAAGAAAGAGAACTTCGTCTCACGAGGTCGAGAGCCAAAGATCAGATCCTCATGCTGAATTGTGGAGATACACCTGTACATTACCACCGACACACTATTGGTGCGATAGGTGAGCTGTTACTCTGTACATCGCCACTAACAGCTACAACGTATCATCATGTCTTGCAAGCAAGCACCCTCACCCTCTCACGCCTGTTCATGATGGACACCCCTAGCCCCGCATTGGGTGCGTGAAGGTACGCAAAGTCTGTGAGAGCGATATCGACATCTTCCAGCGAAGAAGACGGTCTGTAGGAGTGAGATAGTGTCTTCCTTGTGGTCGTGGGTAGGTGTACTGCCGTCGAGGCCCCCAGGCCCAGACGTCTACGCATTGGACTAAGTCTAGGGCATTACAACACACGCACTGGCAGTAAAATTGGCGCTATTTTGCAACATCTGGTAACTCATTTCTCCCTGTTCTTGCGAGAAAGACCAGAACGCAGCATCCCGCATAGCCGGATCATCGATGCATCATCAGAATAATAATAAATTGAATGATGTATCGAGTGTTTCAGCTGACAAGGATAGAATCGCCGATCAAACATGTCTGAGTCGTAGAAACGTGGTCACAGGTGGCTGCAGATTGTAGTCTGAATATCGTATGACGTAGAGACCTACTGTAGGACTATTATACTAAGAGTATAAGTATACAATCATGTAAGCTAAGCTTACTCTTGCTTGTACATATACATAGTCTTTTTTCAATAAAAAAAGGTATTGTCTGAGGATTGCCTTAGCTTTGCTATGTGCATGAAACGCAAGCGTTACAACAATGACATCGCTGGTTGCCTCTGTTCTCTTCTGCCTTCGTGGTAATGTTCCATCCTTGTGGTGTTGATCACTCTAGGCAATCTAGGAACTCTCGCTATTGTAGTCAGTTTAGTACAATGTCATGTTGGACGATAGCAGCAGCAGGTAACAAATCGGAGGACACACTATATTGTAGTTCATGTGTAAGGCGCTTCACAATACTCCCTTCCTTGGAGTGGGGCAGGTAGCTAGGTAGGACCATATTGCCATAGGCCATACTAGTACCCCATACTCCCATAGCCTAGTCCTACCTAGTACATATAACGTTAGTACAGTTCTAGACAAAGAAATCATCCGACTTTATGAATAGAGTGGCGACTGGTTCAAGTAAGAACAGCTGTGGTCATGTGGGTGGGTGCTGCTAAAGCCGCCTAACCCCCCCCCCCCCGGCGCTATTATATTCATGACGAGGACAGAGGTGGTCGAGTTTCTCTAGCCAGAGCAATGAAGTCATGTACCCAGGCTGTGCCCATTTAGAGAAGCAAGAGTAATATTGTATTGATACTTGACTTACTCACGACTCCCATCCAGGGCACACGAGAAGCCTATTGAATATTCGACAAACCTGCAAGAATGCACCACTCTCTGCCCAATACACAGTGATTCGGGGAATTCACCCCTCTCAGTTTGGCTTGAGTAGGCTGAGGAATATTGTGCCTGAACAAGCACTCCAGACCAAAACATCACTAGGGAGAAAATACAGACTCAGATACGAGAGAGAGAGATGCTGTATTTCCAGCTCGACAAACACCTCATGAACACCGGCTACACGTAGAAATTCCCCTTTATGACGTCGTGTTGTTTGTGTTGTGACCGAGGTCGGCGGGAGAGCGTATGAATGTGATAAAGAGTTTAGGAGTCCTATTGTCCGTCAAGTTTTGTATCATGTAATGGCCGTCAAAAGAAGGTATGACCCTGCTAACAATCTTGCCTTCTGACTCACAAGAATATGTCCTAAAGACAACGGTGGGGAAAAGGCGGATCGGCTGGGGGGGGGGGGGGGGCATTACCTTTTCTCTTGGTTTGTGGTGGGAGGTTGGAGTGCCATCGTCCGTACAACTCACACTACTTGCCCACCTAGAGAAACACATCGGTCGGCAAGGGTCCTGAACTATTGCACGAGAACTGCCTACTGCACACGTAACTATTGCTTGCAAAGTTGGGAAGATTCATGTAAGTACATGTACATGTAGTCACGTGGTGTGCTTCACTGTCCGAAGAGTGCTCCATACCCATGTAGGGCAGAGCCTTGTACACAAAGGTTGCCTGATGATCGTAGTATACTAGTAGTAATACGTGAAACTCAGAGTTGCGACACAGCTTCCAATCTCTCTTGTGTACAAGTACGTACATCTAGTCATTGCGTTCTGTTTTCAGCAGGTTACTCGAACAGCAATGATGAATTCACTTCCAGGCCAGGGCATGTAAGACCAAGGTCACACAGTCACGGGTACCAACACTTGAACTAAACCGCAAAGCTTAGACGGGGTTGGTTGTTGCCAACAGTCCCCTCTAAGCTTTGCGGTTTGGTTCTGGACAAACAGCTGTCAACGTCCAATGCAATCTTGGGGTCTGCGACTGGTTGGGGTACATGGCTGCAGTCTGTACATGTGTGGCTGAAAGCACAGTCATGGATCACTGCGGAGCGAACGTTCGGCCGGTAAACATAAGCTGAGGCGAGGAGTGGATCACTACAGAGCTACACGCACACTGTCTATGCTAGACCACTGTGTCTTCGAACGGCACGAAGGAACCGAGTGCACCCACTGTTTTTAATTAATCGTAAATTCGCATTATCACACTGCACTGGTCCATTTCATGTGTGCAGAAAACGACCACCAAAAGAGCGAATGCAGCGGAATATGATGATGAAGGTGATGATGCAAGCAAACTGGCGAAACGCGAGTTGCGAACCAAGGGCATTTGAAGGCGCTGAAATGGATGTGCAAGGGAAAATAATATCTCTACCAGAGTACGAATAAGAATGAAGACGTCAGCCAGTGAGTGCGATGCCGTATGGAACTGAGAGGCCGTCCAGAGAAGGACGCTCTGCCAATTGTTCTGTCACGCACGGCCCAAGCACTATGCCAAGCCTAACATTACTTGAGAACGGCTGAGTGTTACTAATCAGAATGTGACGTCAACCTTATCAAGTACATTGTATACAGTCAGTTCAAGTGAGTTGATTCTGCAGCAACAGAATGAGTACACACAAGTCATGTTACCCCAGGGGTTACGTGTGTGTATTTTTGGTAACAGTCAGTAACAGTCAGGGAAGCTGCGACGGGATCAGTGACGCTGTGTGGGAGGTGGTAATGTCAATGATATGATCTTGTCGGACAAAGATCACGTGTTCAAGTGCAACTAGTGAGAGATGCCTCTGTAACCTACTGACTGCATTGCAAGAAGAGAACATTGGTCCTAAAGGAGTACCGTCATATACCAAACAGGGATTACTATTCCATTACTAGTAGCGGTCTGTTCACATGGGTGTAAAAGCATTGACCACACGACCGGGTTTAGTCCACAGATCTTTGTCAACGCCTTTTTTGATCTACGTGTCCATCTCATGTACATCTCAGACCGATTATAGTACCCACGTATCGATGATTCAATTTCTTCTGAAACACAATTGTGTGTGACGTCTATGAGAACCGTATTCCCATGGCAACATTTTCGAAACAAACAACAATATACTTCCATGGTGATATTCCTTGTCATCTCCTGATTCCGTAAAGCTACGATTTGCGAATGGCGCAATACACAGAGACGCTCAAAACCTGGGCTTGGCAGTTCCCTACTAGTATTGTAAAACTAATAATGTTTTTCCTGATCGGTGCCTTCATTGGCACATACATTGAACTTGTAGTGTTGCTTCATTAGAGGTAGCGTGCATGTTCAAGAAGTGGAGAAGAAAATCGAATGACGCGCCTGATTAGTATCAGACAAGAGAAAAGGAAGAATTAATACAAAAACTCAAAAGTAGAATACCAGGACTCGGCAGGAGGATGCATGCAGTGTCACTGTGCTGAGAGTGCTCATACCACGGAGGTAGAGCGTGCTGCACAGAGCAACACGGCACAAGGATAGTTTGTTGGAACTCTGAGTTTCATGCTATGCAACCATCAGGCAAAATACACTCGTACATTTTTTGCTGTTGTTGTTGTTGTTGATTTTCATTTTACTTCGCAAGGCCAATCGGGCAATGGCCATGCAAGTATTAAAAGTAGAATAGCATGAAAAGCAACTTCAATGATGTTACTATGATCACAAGCTCCCGGTAGGTGTTGGTGTATGAAGGTCAGGGGAAACGGAATCACTCTGCATGTAAATCGTGTACTTTGCGATCGTAATTTGATGTCTTTTACCTGAATACTCTGTGGTGATGCACTGTCAGTGGTGGATACGATTGCGACGGCTAGGCTTTAAGAGTAACATGGTGTTAGTGTATGCACAAGAAAACAATGCAGAGGTTGTGACATGCATTGGACTTGCGTATAAACGGGAACAATGCCTAATGATTATAAGAGCGAATGGACAAGCTACATTTAGAAATGAAAAAGGAAATCAATTTGTTGAGTCTGCAGATCATTACGAAAGAATCCGACAGAGGCGTCAAGCCACTCTGATGCTCATCAGGGTGGGCTGGGAGAGTGAGAGAGAGAGAGGAGGGGGGGGGGGGGGCTAATCAGAGCAACAATATGGCAAGCAAAGTATACTAAACTTTTTCGTTTTGCTATGGTTCGAACATCAATAATTTTTAGATTGCTCTACTGTGCATAAGCTGTTCTTTGGGGGTTTTCCGCAGCCGTAAGTGGACAGCAACACAGTCATGTTGTCTGAAGAAAGCTATAATTATCAGTTCAACGCGGTGGCAGTGATCTTACTGTGATCTTGGGTGGAGGTTTGAAAATGTCTTCATTTCTTGAACAGCCTCGCCTGGCACCTGTCGACGGACAAGGCTGCGGAGTTGCGGACCGTGGAAAGAATATCGGACAGGGTTGTGAAGGTTGGTAGCAGGATGAGAGTGTGCAATAGGTTGGCGTTGCCGTCAGCCTGACGCATGGCCACCAGCTCGCTCACTCTGATTCGGTCTCCGACGCCAACTGGGAAGACTTGCACTTGCTTGTCCCGCACCAATTTCTCCGCCACGGGTACCGGCTTCTCGCCACGGTTTGAATAGCCGTCAGTGATCAGCAGTACTCGTTTCATGCTGAATTGAGACATACCCGCCGCCCGTGTGAAGATCCTGTTGTAACAGTAGCGCAGAGCAGGGCCAGTGGCAGTCACCTGGCCCGTGTAATACACCTTAGCTCTCTTGATGGAGGAAACAATGCGATTCCTGCTGGTGTGGTGCAGCTTAGAGAAGCGAAAGTCGAACACTTTGTGCACCTTCCTGGAATAGACCACCAAGGCGATACGGACGTCCGAGGCAGCATTAGCACGCGTGAACGTGTAGCACAATAGGCCCATCAGCTCAGCCAGATCATCCACCATCTTGTTATACGCTGCCCTACCAACGCTGCTAGACCCGTCCAGGACAAGAGCTATGTCGCGGGTGACAACGGGCAACGGAGGAGGTGCGGGGGACCTCCAGCTCCCCTTTTTGTTCGGTCGTGGACCTTGCGGAGCGAGAGCGGGTGTGCGACCAAAGTTCCCTCCGAGTACCTCTTGAAAGAGCTCAATCTGCTCCGCAGTCGATGGCGGACCTGAGATTTACAAACATACACAGGCAGATCTCGTCTGGATCAACCTATTCAAAAAGCCTATTCTCCCTACGGCTCCCTTCATGGGAGCGTGTATACACGTGTAGATTTAGTATGACTGAAGAAGTGAACATCGTGTCCAGACAGGACTAGCTCTGACACGTAATGTAGCAGTTGAATGTGTGCCAGTATGGCTTACTACTGGCTTGGTGCCTTCCAAACAATTATGTAGACGCAAAGAACTTTCTTGAACAATTCATGACTACCGGGAAAAATGAAGGGAAGATTCCAAAGTCAACGCATGCCATACTAACTACACGCACAGGATTTTGTAATCGTAGTCACCTGGTCACGACCTTTCAGTCAATACTGCCCCTAAGGCCTACAGTATATTCCATAATTCATGCGGTCCTTCAACGTGAGTGTAGGTGATTCGGGCAGCGTAATGTCTATATAGAACACGAGACATGAGTGAATGTAACGGCCACACATCCTTTTTAGTCGATATCATGTAATTAGGCAAATTTGCCTGTTTGTTCTTCGACTCGAAATAAATAAACAAACAAACACATCATACATGTACATAGTATTGTTATTCAGTGAATGTCAGCGAGATTTGAGGTGAGTGAAATACTAGTGGGGCATACATTCACGTTACACTCCTACATCGATCTCTCACTTCATGTATACTCTTTTTTATATTCCTCTGAGGAGAGGGCTTTGGGGGCTTTCAGGAATACATACGATAGAACAATACTATGGTCTTTGTTGTGGGTACGCCCTTCGCTCTATTCGTATCATTATAACACGTTTATCCTTTGCCCTTCTGAACAATACTTTGTTTCCTCTTCCCTGTGACATGCGGAATTAACGTAATCACACATACAATCGTCCTGTACGATGTATCAGTAACATGAGAAGACTGTACGTGTACGGACCCGACCCGTGAGGATTGATAGATATATGGGACAGAAATACATCGTCACTTGTCCTACGTGTGGCGTTAGCCATACAGCTGTCGCACTTACATCTGACTTCAGTCTTGGTCAGCGAAGCAGTACACTGGGAACGTTCGCCGATGGACACCCACCTAGTGCCCTGGTAGACGAGCGGTCGCCCCGAGCACCGCTTTCCCTTCGACTCTTTAGCGGTGGCGAAGCGGATGGGAGTCCATGACGCCCACGGCGTGTACACGCATTCCCTGTCGATGAAGGCGCAGTAGGAGAGGAGACTACTCAAAGCGGGGATCTTGCACAGAGCAATCTCTGCGTCGGAAAGGGTATTGGTACTGGCTGTAGTACCCTGACCGATTGAGACCAGGGTCACCAGGGAGCATACTAGCAGCGCATTCAACACATTCATTTTGATTCAAGTGCGGCAACGTGGTGGGAGAATGGATAAGAGAACGGTATACTATTACCTTTTTCCCGTTTTCAACTCCCTAAACCTTCCTGATTGGTCTTGCCAGGCGTTGTGACTTTGCGTCGCAAAATCTTCCTCTTTATATACCATCTTCCAGCCATGTTCAACGCATCATAGTATACAGCAATCCATTGCTGTCTGCTAGCTTTGGGTGGGCAGTTGGCTGCGACTGTTATTCTATAGTATTTTTCTTGACTTCTTAGGAAATGTGAAATGGGAGTCGGCGGTTATCTCTTGGTTGGTCGACTTGGCAAAGTTTCTCCGTAATCATGGTCCGCGGCGTCCGTGAACCGTCAGCAGGTTCATCATGGTTTTTCATCAGTTTAAAGAAAAGGTGCTCGGCAATCTTTCTGAATGTATTGCGGTGCTATGCCATCGAAGACGTGCAAGTACACCTAGCATGTGTTTTGCGAGACGTCTAGAGTGCCATATTGTAGATCTATTCCAGTGGTGTGTGAGCGCTTATAACTGGGATGATCCCACTCAACTACACACGTCTCCTGAATCCAAGTGCTATACTACAGGCATTGTTGGCATGGTCAGGCTACATCATTGCCATGTGGGTTGGCACCATCCTGGACTTAACGATTCCAATTTTCTCCATCGCCATTCACCCATCACAGGTCTTCCTGCGAACCTTCTTCAATCGAAGACTCCAAATCACCAAGGGATACCCGCCACACTTCATCTCAAGCGCCCAACGACATTCAAGCAAGACCTCGCGTTGTCTTGATATTGGGTGATCAAGACCACACACAGCTAACAGATGACGTCCCTTTGAAGCGCACCTTTAGGAAATTGCATTCACGCTGAAGCCAACATTGTCGAACGCCTTGGAGCTCTTATGGGCAGAACACGCCAAAATAGGATTCAGCGAAACTCGAAAAATATAAACGTCTACGCTGTAATACTGGTATTCGGGAAGAGCCCCATGGGGCCGGGGAGCAGGCAAGGACAATGTTTTTTTTAAAACTTTTATTCTCCCAAAGGACGTGCAGTGGCATGAAACGTACATGTACATGTAGTCATCGGTGGATTAGGTGTAAATGTACACTGTACAACACTGTACAACAATGTACAACACTGTACAGCACGTACAACACTGTACAGCACGTACAACACTGTACAGCACGTACAACACTGTACAGCACGTACAACACTGTACAGCACTGTAGTATGGACTAGACGATGCAGTCCATGAATTGATAACAGAACTCCCAGCTGTAACCCAATCACGCGCCAGGTTCGGCAATCATTCACTTGCAGACATTGCGGACCGTGATAATAATAGTAATGCTTGTGCATTCAGCGGCAATTCACGTCCATGTCAATGCGACATAGAAATGAAGGCATGCCATTACAATACAGTGGAAAGCACGTGACATGCACCCTGATAAGAGACACACGCTGAAAGAGTTCAATCCTGAAAACGCGACGTAAATACGTGACTGCAGAACACTCTCGCACAGGTTTTGAGCAATGCCCACTCCATTCATAGCATCACCAACCTATTCTGATCAGCACACGAGACTCAGTGGAGGAGACCCCATCACTTTATTATGGCTTTGCTTGTTGACCAACAACTTGGACACATGATTATGAAATAATGAAACTGACTCAATTCCTCGAACCTGTGCTGATTAAGGACTTCAATCATTGGAATGTTTGTGTCAAATGCAACGTAAATGAATGGGATCATCAACTGGTTATGATAATGCAGACCTTACCCTGTCAGGGAGCCAGCCACATTTCAGTAGTGTCAGTCGGAGATTCACTGTTGACATGACACTGAACATGCACTGGCGCGTTTCCTTTGAACTCCACCTCCCGGCCCAGCATGCACATGAAGGTGTCACAACGCTGCTGCCATGTGTTTTGGGTTCGCCCACGCAGTATTCTTCGTTCTAGTGCAGTTGCCGAGTTGGATTCGAGGCACGTGTCGTCTCCCTACAGTAGTTCTATACGGGTGGTAAATTCCTAAATGCAGTAGCCAGTAGGGTTTCGAAACAATACTCCAGCTGTCCAAGACCCGCCTGTCCCAATGATGTAACGATCTCAGCCGATCTTTGACTTCAGGTAAGTACTGTAAGCTTGATGAACATACATTATGTAATTGTTTGCCGATAAGACTGGTATAGCTGCATTTAATTTTTAAGTTCTACATTTTTTGTTGACAACCAGGTCCACAGCAGTTATTGAGCACTCCCGCTGATGGTTAGTACGGTTACACACAGCGTCCAAATCCTCAGTTGCTTACATGCTGCGCACACTAGTGGGATACGGGTTTGTAGACAAGGAACCATGATAATTCTGTTATAATTCCGTACTAGTACACTGTATTGGAAATGACGCCATATTGAGTCCCGTGATTAAACGAAGTCACAACAGCAGAGTTTCCACGAACATTGAACGGTGTCTGCTGCTGCTGCAAGCTATACTATGATACTAGTATGCTAAATTCTTGATTGTGTACATGTACATGGCACACACACAGTACATGTACATGGCACACACACAGTACCTGGAGAAGGCTATCAGTACAGTCATGACTGTAAAACGACATGACGTTTCATTCAATCGCACTCATTGCTCGTTATTTGTTTCGGATCTCTATCTGGACATCTGGTATGATTGTGGTATATCATGCCCACCAACAATGCGCAGTGAATGGAAACACAGGTGGTCACCGCCAGTACGAGATGCTTCGAGGCTCTGCATAGAGGCCATTACAACAGTACAGGTAGCATCCAGCTGTTTCGCGTCTGGATGGGACGAAGATGAAAATACTTGGTACATTTATCTGAAAACTAGCTTCAGTACAGCTGCGCTCTCACACACACACGCGTTGTTTACTACTAAACACAGCCCCTACTAACAATCAGGGAAAGAGGGCATCAGAAGTGACACCGTACAACAAGACTTTTCCCACCTCTGAGGTACACCTGACATCCGCAGGTCTCTGACGACTACATTAAATTTTTAATTTCTAACTAGCGTTTCGGTCCCCTAACGTACACACCTGGAGACTCACGAGCAGGGCCTGCATATTAACGTACATGTACCGGTATTAGCAAGAGTACATAACCATTATGTACTCTTGGTATTAGCAATCAAGGCTGCAGGATAAAAGTGTAACAGGAGTATGAACTAAACATTCATCACCATCACGGAAGTGACATTAGTGGCTCCACGGATAGTTAGAGTCTGTCTCCCAGCTTCTACACTTCTGAAGATCTGCAGTTATCGAAATGAACAAAACCGTATGATGATAATAATAATTATTATTATTATAACGTTAATGGTACTAATGTACCTTACATGATGCGTACTGTAAAGGCCAGCTGAATGTAGTGCCTAGGACACTGGGTTACCAGTAGGTAGCAATCACAACCGTATTATTCAAGGGTTTTGATCTCATAACGAACATAGGGTAAATAGTACCTTGACCTTTTCCATAGTACCTTTGCGCTGTATTCGTTCAGCTCTCAATCGGAACACAGTCACATTAAAATAGACGCAACCGCTAACCAACAAATAGGACTGAAGAACACGGCTCTGATTTCGGGTGATGTTCATCTACGCATTCCGCTGAGCATCTAAAGAACGGTAGTCTTTATAATCGGTCGCTCTCTTCACCTTGCACCCAGACCTTGCCGGCAAAAAAGAAGAGCAGGAAAGGAGGATTGCGTTGTTCAAGCAAAATAAATGATCGATATTTGAGACATATACATATAGTCATGTACATGCTGCAGTTGTGCAAGAGAGAGAGGAGATCAGACTTTACTTTGAGCTTCCTTTAGCCGGTTGGTGAGACATTGACTGTGTCATTCCTCACTAGTCACGGTCACGTGTATGGCCCAGTTGTGTGCTATTTATCGGATGAGATTGACCTATCACTGATCACAAATCAGGTACAGGTAGTTTGGATGTTTTCACTGACCCTAATGATCTCACTGTGATCTCTTGGGACATGCAAGATGTGCGGCACATTGTCTTGTCGACATGAACAATGATGGGAACGGTGACTATACCCAAGCTGGCATCGATCAAACTAATCATTTTCAATGTTGCCTTACTGCGGTCTGGCTCTGTACGTATGCGTCGAGTCACTATGCGTCTTTTTCGCCCACGTCTGGAACAGCAGATAAGAAAAGCCTGCTGTGAGCACGGTGGTTTGGCAGTGACCTTTACCTTCATTCATTACTTTGTGACAATGGAATATTTTAATAATCCATTGTCACAAAGCAAGAAAATATTCTATATTCTTACTATGGATGTTGATCTAGCTGTTAGAAGGGCAGATGCCTTTGTCGCCTGGTATGCCATCAGCTGCTGTTGTCCATTTAACCACAGTCGATCAGCCACACATGTACTAGTACAGTGTAATCCTGAATCATTTACATGTACAATTATGTACATGTATTTAAAAGATAACAACGATTAAATTTTAAAAAGAGCAAAAAAAACATATATTACTGGCTCAGTATCCGAGTTAAAACAACGATTTACATCTTTTTATTCGCCTGGTCAAATGAAGAACCTCTTACTACCAAAACATGGTGTGACGAATCATTTTGTGCTGTTACTTTCTAAAGGGGTGCAGAAGTTCTACAATCATGTACATGTACATGTAGATGTAGATTGTAAAGAGTTACAGTGTTCGTTAGTAGTATACATCTCGTACTGTTCTGATACCACAATCCAGTATCAGTTAGCTACTGCCACTACTACTGGAGTGATGAGTCTGATGACATCCTTCACTCACACCTGTTATGACCGGTTGGTGATGACGTGACACGTAACGTACATGTCCGAGTTAGATCATCATTCTCCTTGAATCCCATTGTAGTGAAGCGTTGACAAGTCATGCACAACCGATGCTCATGATATACTAGTAGTCGAAATGACCTTTGTCACAAGAACTTCCATCAGTATTTTTCACAGTTCTTAGTAACACACACACACACACACACACACACACACACACACACACACACACACACACACACACACACACACACATACACACACACACACACACACACACACACACACACACACACACACACACTCTCTGTCTCTCTCTCTCCCTTTCCCTTGCTCGATCGTATCAAAGACCTGATGCAATTAGTGTTGACAGTCGACATCTCTGTAGTTCAGGTGTCATGCTATTGATCTCTTTGTGACCCTTCATTCAAGGTGTTCAACATGTCAGTGTCAAGTTGCGGTTCATGCACTGGCCGTATTCAACATTGTCACACGGACTTCTCGTCAGTCGTGCTTCAAGTCGACGACAGATTCTCGCAAGATTGTGTCAGGTGCAGAATTTCCGTTGTTCTCGCAGTTATCCATTGTCGACACTTGCGTGCAAGGCGTTTAGATCTACATCATGTACGCGTGTGGGCGAGCGGGTGTGAATGACTCAAAACGACAAAAGACGAAAAGAAGCATTAGCAAAATCAATAAACAGATGTACCGCGCGTACTGGATCGGACTCGAAGTTTAGAAAAAACAAAAAGTCACTGAGTTGTAGACCTACACACCCACAACAATCGAAAAGGTCCTGTGTCCCTGTCAAGATATCGGCCTCGATGGATTGATCAAGGTTTTCATGGACCATGGCTCCGTTAGGTATTGTGTGTTTGCATCCAAATCGATACGAGCAATGTATTGCTTTCCAACAATGCCTTTTGATCGCATGTCGGCCTGGCGGCGCCCCATGGGAGATGTTTCGTAACGTACGGGGAATGGCGTGGCAAGGTCAAACATGCAGATTTCCAAATGGCGCTAGTAGTAGTCCTGTGCAACAAGACATCTTTCATTCACCAACCGTATCATCAATCAACTAGGCGTCGTTCCTGCTGATCAGCTGACTCAATGGCATTGAGAGATTCGTGTGAAGGGTTATTGCTCGATGGGAGTTCATCATTGGCGAATTTTGCTGCTTCTCAATGTAGATCTACTACACACTACTGCAGTACATCAGGTATCAAAGTGAGGTTGCTGGTTTTATCAGCCAGCGTGAGCTGTATAAAAGTCAACGGTGCAGAGATCCGAAGAACAAAGTTGATCAGAAGTTTCTAAGACAGTTTACGCAAGTTCAGAAGTCGCGGTAGCACTGTCCATTGGAGCCAGATCTCAGGCGAAGGCCCTGAAAATGGTCACAATGATGAAGTTTCGCCAGCTGTGCAGCCATTCGTTGCTTGTCATGGCGGTGCTTGCAGTGCTCATCCCAGAAAGTCAAGCTGTACCTGCCTCACTGCTCAAGTTGTGTGAGCAACCGGCTCTGCGAGCCATACTCAAGTTTTGTTCCCAGCCGGCAACAGAGGCCCCGACAACTGAGGCCCCTACAACAGAGGCCCCGACAACACTGCCGCCCTGTACATATAGTGAGTGGGGTGACTGGCAGGAGCTCAGCTTTGCCCGGCCAGGCCAGAAATCCTGCCCAACAGGCTCTGCAGTCGAAGCGGAAAGACGCCGTACTCTTTCCGGGGGTGACAAAAGCTACTGCAAAGAGCTACTGGTGGAAAGATCGCTACGCTGTAAGTTTTAGGAGCATAATTATTCAATTGCTAGTAACTTAGTATCCCCACAACTATGCAGGTCAAGCAATCTTCTCATATGCTTCTATTGAAATGCTTTTCACATTGAAATCCTTTGTATGGAGCAAATTTCAACGAAGCTAACCGCAATGCCTGTAAGCAGTAAATGCATACGTGACATATGTTGTCACGTGTACATGCACGCACTGGAAGCTCCTTGACCTAGGTGACCAAGCAGGTAATAGAGAGCTTAAGATGAACGTTATTTCTGACATGACGCGAACCTTCAGCTATTTGGCTCGCGCGTCGAAAAACAACCCGAGTGACCTGCAGCTCACGTCGAAAATAACGTTCATCTTTACCTCTCTATTGGTTGTCTTTGAGGTCTTCTGATGCCGCCTGCCCAGTGCTTTTGAAGCAATACGGTTTCAGGTTTGACCCACGTGTTATCAGTTTTTCATGCTATCGAGTGTTGGCAGCTGCAACGAGCCGATTTTATACAAAAACGTATTTAGGCCAACAAAAGCGTAATCATCATGTCATTTCATCACATTCTGTTGTAATGAGTTGATGATCGGTGCTCTTCCTGTTGCTAAAGCAAACTAGAAGAAAGAATTTCCTAACTGTGATGTGCTATTGTGTTGGTTTAAACTACAGGTCCACCATCAGTACAAGAGCAAATCAACTCATTGCAGTTTGCACTCGGCGGTTCTCTAGGTCAGGAGATCTCCAGGAAGGTCCAGGGACCAGGTGGTCGTGCCGGTCCAGGACAGGCAGGTCCGTCTGGTAAGAGTGGTCCTCCCGGCCGGCGGCCCACTTACCCATGCTATCCTCGACACCTTTCGCCCGGCCGACCCGGCCCCAAAGGTAGTGCCCCTAGACGTGGATCGCCGGGACCCAAGGGAGGACCCAGCGGATCATCGGGACCATCAGGACAAGCAGGACCGTCAGGACCGGCTGGCCCACCAGGAGGATATAGACCCAGCCGTCGCTGCCCTCCCACCTCAGATTTTCGGCCATGGCGACCGGATGTCACATGGAAATCATTCCACAGTGGCCCCACTACTCCCGGTCCAGACGTGACGAGAGAAATCGTGCTGGTGCTCGATGCATCTGGCAGTGTAGGACGATCGGCCTTCAACGACATGTTACAGAATCTAGGGGATCTCCTGGAAGCACTCTGCACCAACTTCACTCAGGAGAATGCACCATCAAACTACCGCTTTGCATTGGTCGTGTATGGCTCTGCAGTGCATGAGGTTTTCAACTTCCACCATTCAAGCCTGGGACATCTTAACAAGGAGGCCATTAAAGCCTCCGTCTTAGCAGCGGAACAGTTCTACACTGGAGGCCTCACTGCAACTGGTCCTGCCCTTCGGTACTGCTACAACAATATCTTCACCGAATCAGCCGGCATGACGGCGTCCAACAATACGATGAGGAGAGTCTTGTTGATCACGGACGGTAGAAGTAACATAGGCGAGTCGCCCCGACAGGTTGCCCAGGACCTCAAGTTCGACAAGAGAGTGGAGGTGTTTCCCGTCGGAGTCGGCAACAACGTCAACTTGCAGGAGCTACACAGCGTCAGAACCACCATAGGTGACTACAACACGCGCCTTATACCTCTTATGCTGGTGAGCGACTTCACCTCGTTTGCCTTCATAGTAGATGCGGTCAAGCAGGAAGTCCAGGATGGTCGGAATTTTTGTGGTAATCCCTCCATCTTCAAATAACACTCCACATCTTGGCCTTCTCACATCGCGTAAGCCTTTGATATCCCAAGATCTCTTTAACCATTATTATGACTCTCATGTAGTTTCATGTTTTGCCAAGCATCAATTTCAACAGCTGGTGTTTGGTATCTTATTATACGGGCATTTCACCTCCTTTTGACCAACTACTAATATATATCCCATCTCTCCCCCCCCCCCCCCCTCTCTGCACTAGCAAGCAGGTCCACGGACACAGACACACATGCACAACATAAACCAGCGCACACATTAGCACACACTCGTGCACCCGCTCTGGTGTAGCTGTTATCCTCTGTCTGTAATATGTAACTACCTGCAGATTGTGCAATTGTATCTTTGCAGGCATGAGGTCATGACATCCATGTATAGCGACCAAAAATTCATCTTTTGTTGCCTAGTTCCTTTCACACTCAGCGCCGGTTATAATCCTTATGCTCATCCTCATTTTCTTACTATATATTTTATACCCTGCATAGTTATTGTTATGTTATGACGTAATGCCGTACAACTTTAGCTCTACTGTGTATGCATGCACGCATATCTTTGAAGGTCTTCTCTGTCGTTTTTTTAATACAGATTGAATCTTGTCAGTTTTTCTACTTCGTATACCGGTATTCTAACCAATAAACTACTTGTCTCTTGTCTACCGAACCTAACATGGCGCAGTGAACTACTAGTAACCTGAGTACGGAATATTTGACAGCCTGTAGTTGTCCGTGAATTCTGTAGCCTTTTATTTTCAAACGATCGATCGTGGAGCATAAGTGTCTTGTAGTTGTAGAATTTGTAGAATTGTCGTGATGGCGGAACCTGGAATTTCCCCAATCAGTGCTGAAATTGTACCCCTGCTCGCCTTGATGCAGCAGCAGATGAAAGCGGCTGAGGCACGCGAGACTCGCCTCACCACACTGGTCGAAAACGCAACGCGCGACAACCAGGCACCACCCAGCACTTCGACATCCTACAGTCAGAAGCCGATTTCTGTCGAGCGACCGGTGTTGCTCAGCACTGCAACCATGGCCGATTTCACGGCATGGGAGGAGGCTTGGAGAGATTATGCTGTGTGCCAGCACCTCGCCAGCCAAAGTCGTAAGACTCGGGTGTCCGCTCTTCGCCAGGCGTTCGATGCCGACATTCGTCGTTTCATGCGCGAAGATGTGATTGTCATCTCCCGCAGTGCCGATGCTCCGGAGATCATCATAGCAGTAAAAGCGTACATCCGACGCCAACGGAACCCCCTCCTAGATCGAATTGCGTTTTACAATAGAAAGCAGCAGCGCAATGAGTCATTTGACTTCTTCTTTGCTGCAATGAGATGAGGGCCCGGGCGCGCGCCCCTCATTCAGGCGAAATAGCACGTCATAGTACATTCGAGATCAGCGGGAAGAAGATGACGACGTCCACTAATTTAGTATCTGTGCACACGAATCTGCTGTGTGTGTTACTCTGTGTGTCAGCTATGGCATCATCGCCTGTGGTTCCATCAACTAAATGTCACTTCTCTGCGGTTGACGTCACAGTATAAGAATTAGCAGAGAAGTAGTGTTCTCTGTCCACCGGGAACGGGTACGAGGGAGCACGGTGTGGGATAAAAGGAGGTGACGAGTGCAGGGTCGGCCTCTTTTGTCTTTGTGCGGAGAGTTGAGTGAGAGTTTGTGAATAATTTAATTTGAAAGTTTTGGTTTGTGAAAAGAATGTCGAGAAGTGTGTCGCCGAGTGGTAGTGGTAGTGAGAGTGAAGGGTATGTTGAGGAGAGTAGGAGGATGAGAGAGATGGCTGCGAGATTGGAGACATTGGAGAGGAAGTTGGAGAAGTCTAGTCGTAAGAGGAAAAGAGAGGATAGGAGTGACAGTGACAGTGAGTCAGAGAGGAGCAGGAGAAGTGGCAGGAGTAGAAGTAGCAAGAGGAGAAACAGCAAGAAGAGCAAGAAGAGCAAGGAAAGTAAGCAGGTGAAGAGGGAGAGACAGGACGAGAGGATGGCGGCGGCAAGAAAGAGAAGTTGGAAGGCCAAGGCTCACGAGGAGCAGTTCTGCGTGATAAGTAAGGCGTTGGAGCCTCTAGCCAAGGCAAGGCAGAAGGCGGAGCGTCGAGGCGAGAAGGACATCGCCAGAAACATAGAGGAAGGTGAGAGCGTCCTCCAGCGGCGAGTCAAGTTATTGCTGTTTGCGGACGCCGAAGGGTGGTCGGCCGCAAACATTTATGATGGTAAAATGGAGTGCGGGTCCGATACGGACGATGAGCAGAGGATGAGGAGGGTCAGGGCGGAGGCCAAGGAGGGGAAAAGGAGCAGTGGCAAGCCCTTTCCAGGAGGCCGCCCAGCCGGGGTCGGGCTCGGAGCGGCTGCTCGAACTCAGACCATGCCGGCCGCACCGAAGCCACCCGGATTCGGCGCCCCGTTCAAGGAGCTGGCCTGTTGGCGGTGCGGTTGGAAGGGGCACGTGCAGAGGGACTGCATGCAGCCTGCCCCAGGCCCAGCACCTGCCAGGTCATTCCCGATGCAACAGCAACAGCAGCCACGATGAACAAGATAAGTTTGATGTGCATGTTGATGATGATGATGAGGATGAGGATGATGAAAAGAGTGTTCAAACTTATTCAGATGTTGTGGTTGAAAGCGGATATGGTGCGGAAGGGGAAGGGGAAGGGGAAATCTGGGCAGAGGGTGAAACTGTGATGCATGGGATATTGAAGCGGTGCATACCGTTTTGGAGGGAGATGGGGGCTTCATCTTGGATTATTAGTATCTTGGAGGTCGGTTATGCGTTGCCGTTTGTAACAGACCCTCCGTCTGGTTTTTTAAGGAATCAGAAAAGCTGTTGGAAGCATGTACAATTTGTTGACGAGGCAGTGAAGGGGCTGGTAGACTGCGGGAGTGCGATGAAAGTAAACGAATCTGAGTTAAATTGTGTTAGCCCGCTGGGAGTGGTGGAAGGTGCTAGGAAGCTGAGACTGATTTTAGACTTGAGGCAAGTGAATGAATGCTTGGCAAAATTCAGGTTTAAATTGGAGGATATCAGGATGGCAGTGAAGCTTTTTCAGAAAGACGACTTTGTTGTAACATTCGATTTGAAGAGTGGTTATCACCATGTTGATATGGCAAGGGACCATTGGAAATATTTGGGTTTCTCATGGGGAGGTGAATTTTATTGTTTCAAGTCATTGCCGTTTGGGCTCTCCACTGCTCCGTATCTTTTAACAAACTGGTCCGTGTGATGGTTCGTTACTGGAGGGCTCAGGGCATTAAGTGCATGATGTTCTTTGACGATGGCTCTGCAGGAGCGGGCACTGTGGAAGAGACAGTGAGGGTAGCAGGTGTGCTCACGGAAACGTTGGAAAGAGCGGGTTGGAAGATCAATGTGGAGAAATCGTGTCTTGTGCCTTCTCAGAAGCCTACCATTCTGGGTTTTGTGTTGGACCTGGTTCACGGGAGAGTAAGTGTGGCGGAGGCAAGAGTTCTGAGGTTTTTGGAGCATTTGAGGGTTTTGCATAGCAAGAGGAGACCGAATGCCAAAGAGTGTGCTAGGCTGGCTGGGTTCATCATTTCAATGTCTTTCGCCATTGGGCCAGTTGCAAGGTTGAGAACCAGGGCATTGTATGACATGATTCTCAAGAGGAAAAGCTGGTTTCATAGACAGGAGTGGTCTGATGAGGCTTATGCAGAACTGAGCTTCTGGTGGTATTGTTTCAATGAGTTTCATGGAAGATTGGTTGTGGGTGATCCCAAGATAACAGCAGTTGTAGACACGTGGTCAGATGCTAGCGATGTAGCCTGGGGAGGTTTTGCGGTGTCCTGCGGGGAAACGATTGCAAGAGGGAATTGGCCAGAAGAGGTGTTAAAGGCTCAGAAGAGTTCTACGTGGAGGGAATTGAGGGCTACCGAGTTGGTGCTGCAATCGGTGGTCCAAGAATTGGCAGGCAAGGAATGTAGGCACCGGACGGATAATCAGGCGGCAGCTCGTATTCTGCAGGTGGGCAGCAAAGTTCCAGAACTGCAGGAGATTGCATGTCGGATTTTCAGGTTTTGCAGGCAAAATTGCATTCGACTTGTGCCAGAATGGGTTCCAAGGGAGGAGAATGTTCTGGCAGATTTTTTATCCAAGGTAGTGGATACTGATGACTGGAAATTGTCGTCTGAGGTATTCGACGAGATAGACGGTTTGTGGGGCCCGCACACTGTTGACTGCTTTGCCAGTGCAGAGTCGGCACAGTTGCCTCGTTTCTGCTCACGTTGGTGGAATCCAGGATGTTTGGCCGTGGATGCTTTCACGATGTACTGGGAAGGGGAGAACTTATGGTTGTGCCCCCCATTTACCTTATTGGAGACGTTATTAGCAGAATTTCAGTGATTGTCAGTCATGGGACATTGGTTGTCCCAAAATGGACATCTGCATGGTGGTGGCCATACTTATTCAAAGGTACTGAAAGCTCCACGTTGGTGAGGAGTTTTATTTTCCTGCCTAGAATATCAGGTCTGTTTGACAGTGGCTCTTGCCAATGGAATTGGTTTGATGGGAAGGTGCCAAGGTGTGAAGTCATGGCAATCAGGTTCTGTAGTATCATGGGCTGTCGGTGCTGTGAGACAGAATGTCGGGAATGATATTGAACTTAAAGACAAGGTGTCTGCAGATGGTTCTGTGTTTTGCTGTGTGTTGGTTGTTGATTGGCTGCAGATTCTAGAGGCTAGTTCTGCAAGACGCACATGGTGCATAGCCTGAGGCAGGCTGGACGGTCCTGGGGGCTGTGCTGGTGGATCCAGCGCCAAGGAGCTGCCAACATACCAACAGAGGGAAGTCTGGTTTGGTACTTGCCTTGTATTATTATTAGCTGTGTTTTGCATGTTCCAAGGTGTGAAGTCATGGCAACCAGGTCCAGTAGTATCATGGGGTGTCAGCGCGGTGGGACATGATGTCTAGGTATCTGCAGAAGGTTCTGTGTTCTGCTATGTGTTGTTGATTGGCTGCAGAATCTAGAGGCTAGTTCTGTAAGACGCACAGGGTGCATAGCCTGAGGCAGGCTGGAGGGTCCGGAGGGAATGTGTAGGTGGATCTTGCACCATGGAGCTGTCAACATATCAACACAGGGAAGTCTTGTTTTGGTTCTTGCTTATTATTATTACTAATGTTGTTAGCTGTATTTTTGGCAGGTCATGTGGTTGTGTATGGCTGGTGCATGTTAGCCATTATTATGTAACATGGCATAGGAGGAGGCTTGTAGCTGGAGCACAAGCTTGTGCGGTCTGAATAACGAGGCTTATATTGTGGTTCTTTCCATGTGCTTGCTAAAATTTTTAGAGATCTGGGACCAGGGGTGCTGGAAGAAGCTACAGGAAGTAGCTGAAGGCAAGGGCCTAGTGAGTTTGTCGGAACGAGCCAAGGACTTGGTGATGGAGACACATGCGTCATCTACGGTGAAGACCTACAAGTCGGCATTTTCGCGTTGGAAAAGCTGGGCTATGGAGCATGGGTTTGTGGCGATACCCGCTACACCGGTGGCAGTCAGTTTGTACCTGATCCACCTCGTAGAGACGAGCGCATCCGCAAGCCCAATTTCTGCAGCTCTGTCCGCAATCAAATGGGCTCATCAGAAGGCATGCGTACAGCTTCCTGTCAATGCCATGGTGGAGCAGATTGCAGCAGCGGCAAAAAGGAGGTTAGCTTGCACCCCCAGGCGGAAAGAGCCCCTCAACAAGAAGCAGGTGGCTACGATCGTGGGTCAACTTGC